TTGGTCCCTGTGAGTACAAAATGCTGGACTAGATGGGCCATTGGCTTGATCCAGCAGCCTCTGATATTCTCAAGAAGTTCTCCAGTATTAATTCACATAAAAGACAATAAATAAAGACAGTGGCTAGCACACTGCTTATATTCATATATATATATGGATTATATGTTATATATATGGGTTACACTTTTGAACCTTACTTCAAGCTATGGTACAGCAGATGTGAGGCACATGCTTTGAGTTTATTTCAACAGAAAGTAATCATTTCAATTAATTCGGGATATCAAAGATACTGTCAGAGGTTTTTGTTGGTTATTTAAGTAGAATTCATGAAAAGCTAGGGCAGATTCTAGCCCAGACTTAAAGGGCTTCTTATGAGGAGTGAAGGAAAAGTTGGTGTTAACAAGAGAGAAATCATTCAGTTTCCCACATTAGTTCATGATTCATACTTTTAAAATCCCCACGAAAATTCATCAGCATTTTAGTACAAAATTCTCCTAAGACACGCAATTGTATGCAATTTTGCCTAACAGAAACATTTTGCACAGTCAACATTTTTCAGTAACAGTCAGTCAGTCAGTTTTATTGCACATAGCCAAAGGCTGCCGCAATATACACAGAATCATTCAAAAATTAAAAGAAAATATACTGGATTAATACAAAAAACTTAAAACATTTATATTATCAAGACTTTACCTACTCTAAACAGAGCTATTTGATACAATACATTTATGTGTGTTAGTTTTACTAATATTTGTACTTTTGTGCAAACTACCCTAGCATATGCATTTTTGGTACACGTTACTTTGCTGGGGGGGGAATGTCCTTGCAAAATTCAGAGAAGTGCAAATTTTGAAGGATGGTTGCGTTTTGGGGTTGCTTTCAAAAAAGTGTAAATTAAGTAAGTTCACCTTTAAATGTAAACTAAATAGAATCTCTCAATTCCAACTGTGCTACCAGCACATTGGAAACTCTGCATCAAGCCGCAGCACATCCAAAATTTGTTTTCCAACGAACTCTGCAAATTAACAGCTGTACACAGCCGGGAGATTTGCAAAACCCACTGAGCCCCCATGAATTATACATCGCTGACTGCTTAAAGCTAATGTACCATAATTCTTCTGCGAAGGTGCTGTGGAAAAGCTGAGATCATTACCTTTTGTACGGTTTTCCGATTACAAATAAAAGACACGTAGGAACTGGGGGTGGAAGGGAAACAAGCACTATGCCCATGGAACATTAACGACTTGCTAATAGGCATGTAGAAATAATTATGTGCAAACCTAAAATTCCTATCTGCCAACAGAAGACCCTCTCCTTGGAATTTATTTTGCCATGAAACCAATACGAAATCCCATCATTTAATTTTTTTAAAACCTAATACGTGCGAGGGTTCATTGGACCCAATTAAATTAAAATGCAACACGCAATCACCTTTTATGCAAATTTTTAAAGGGGTTTATTACATTATATGCTAATATTGAGTTTCATATCCTTTAGATGATGAATTACCCAATTGTGCTGCCCAGTCCATTAAACAGACTCCAAGCCAAGAGTTTAATTCTTCCTTTCTTTACAGAGCAATCAGAGAGAAGGGAGATCTCGTTTTCAGGATCCCTCACCCTAACACCCACCCTGTCCTTATATCATCGCAACATTAAACATTAGACAGAGCTTATGAATTAAGTTTAAGAGACTCTAGTTTTTTCCAGGAATAGCACAATCGGCTCCCTAGGCCATCAGATGGTAGTAGCATCTTTTTCCTCTTTGCCAAAATGGCAGTTATTCCTCTAGTCCAGGGATCAGCAAGCATTTTCAGCCGTGGGCCAGTCCACCGTCCCTCAGACCACGTGGTGGGCCGGACTATATGGGGGGGGGGCGAAATGAACAAATTCCTATGGCCCACAAATAACCCAGAGATGCATTTTAAATAAAAGGACACATTCTACTCATGTAAAAACACACTGATTCCCGGACCGTCCGCGGGCCAGATTGAGAAGGCGATTGGGTCCATGAGTTACTCTAGTCCATGAGTTGGCAAACTAAGGCCTGGGGGCTGGATCCGGCCCAATCGCCTTCTAAATCCTGCCCACAGACAGTCCGGGAATCAGCGTGTTTTTACATAAGTAGAATGTGTGCTTTTATTTAAAATGCATCTCTGGGTTATTTGTGCGGCATAGGGATTCATTCATTTTTTTCCTTCAAAATATAGTCTGGCCTCCCACAAGGTCTGAGGGACAGTGGACCGGCCCCCTGCCAAAAAAGTTTGTTGACCCCTGCAGTCTAGTCCAGTATTTCTCAGTACCGAGAAGGCCCTCTGCCTGTTTCCCTGTAACTAGGCTTCTCACAGCGAGGGAACCGCCAGAAGGCCCTCGGTGCTGGACCTCAGTGTCCGGATAGAACGATGGGGGTGGAGATGCTTCTTCGGTCCAAGTGGGAGATAACTAGAGCATGCACCACTCTGGTGAGACAGTCCGCGGGCAGGTAGGGTCTCAGCCTGCATACCAGGTGGAGCTGGTAGAAATAAAAAGCAAAGGCACTCTTGCCCCCACCCCCACAACCGAAGATTCAAGCCCTCTCACTGCAACCCTGGAAGAGGCAAGGCAAGCCTGGAAACTTCAGGTCAACTTTGGAGGTCTTGCTACCCTGCCTTGGTGACCTCCAGATGTTTTAAACTACATCTCCCATGAAGCTGTCCTAAGGTGTTAACACCATGTTCTCTTTTTAACAGAAGCAGCGGTCAAGGCTGCAAGGGTGCGTCATGACCAGCCTTTTTTATAAATGAGTGTCATTCTGAACAACAAAACAGCAGAAGATCAATTCTTCACTCCAATAACATTATCCAAAGGATACCACCTTTTTTTCTATTTTTGGTCAGGAAAGCTATTCAATCAATAGCATTAATTCGTCGCTTCTGAGATCAAAAATGAAAGGTTTAATTTTTCTTCTTTCCACCTAACAACTTTTTCTTCATGCTTTTAAACAGAGTCTTGCTTTTAAAACACACAAAAAAGTTTGATGTGATTTTATCAGCATTATTATTATGCTGAACTAATAGGGAGGTTGATTTGTATTTCTTTGTGTGAATTATGTTAATATGTGTACTATATGAAAAATAAAAAAGCAAGGATGCAGCTTTTAATCAGCTAAGCAATTACTGCAATCAGTCTATTGGAACTATTGTATTTTTGTGTTTTGCTGGAAGCCGCCCAGAGTGGCTGGGAAAACCCAGCCAAGATGGGTGGGGTATAAATAATTATTAATTATTATTATTAGAATATTTTAATTGACTGAGAGCTGCATCCAATTAACTTGAGCAGCATATTTATTTCTTTTAAAAAATATGTATTTTAATAGTAAGCACCAATAAAAACTGCAGGTGGCAAGTGCATACTATACTCAAACGCTATAGCAACCTCTTGCTAGGGCTACCAGCAAGGCTATTCTGCAACCCAGAATCTTCAACTCCATCCATAGCTGCCCCCAAGCTACAGGTGGGAAAACCTCCCCGAGCAATGAAATAGTTTCCAGGTACAGGAATGGCTTCTCCAACCTACACTGGTCACTTCTTGTCCTCCATGGGAAAGAGTGTAAAAGATTTCTTAGGAACACACTTAATACTGAACCAAACCACTGGTTCACCAAGCTCAGTAGTGTCCAAATCAGGGTTTCCCAAGCTTGGGTCTCCAGGTGTTTTTGGACTACAACTCCCACCATCCCTAGCTAGCAGGACCAGTGGTGAGGGATGATGGGAACTGTAGTTCAAAAATAGCTGGAGGTTTTGGAAACCTTGGTCTAAACTAATTGGCACGGCCCTCCAGGACAAATCCTGAAGCTGAGGCTTCAAGACTTTGGCCACCTCATGAGAAGAGAAGACTCCCTGGAAAAGACCCTGATGTTGGGAAAGATGGAGGGCACAAGGAGAAGGGGACGACAGAGGACGAGATGGTTGGACAGTGTTCTCGAAGCTACCAGCATGAGTTTGACCAAACTGCGGGAGGCAGTGGAAGACAGGATGGCGTGCTCTGGTCCATGGGGTCACGAAGAGTCGGACACGACTAAACGACTAAACAACAACAACCCTGAGATGCTACAGGTTGAACTCTGGATCTCCCTCATGCAAAACAGATGTTTGTTTGTTGCATTTATATCCCACCTTTGCCCCAAGGAACTCAAGTTCTCCTCCTACCCGTTCAATCCTCACAACAACCCCGTGAGGTAGGTTAGGCTGAGAGTGAGTAGCTGGCCCGACAAAACCCCAACAAAGGAAGAGTGGCAAGAGAAATTGATGAACCATGCGGAACTGGCAGAACTGACATACAAATTGCGAGATAAGGACAACTGTGACTTTAAAGAAGAATGGGGACTTTTTACAAATTATTTAAAAAGACAACAAAATGAATTGGACTCCTTGGCAGGTTTTGAATCAACATACACAAATTTATTGTGGGTTAATATAGTAGATAAGGGACACGGGTGGTGCTGTGAGTTAAATCACAAAGCCTAGGACTTGCCGACCAGAAGGTCGGCGGTTTGAATCCCCACGACGGGGTGAGCTCCCGTTGCTCGGCCCCTGCTCCTGCCAACCTAGCAGTTCAAAAGGACGTCAAAGTGCAAGTAGATAAATAGGTACCGCTCCGGCGGGAAGGTAAACGGCGTTTCCATGCACTGCTCTGGTTCGCCAGAAGTGGCTTAATTATGCTGGCCACATGACCCGGAAGCTGTACACCGGCTCCCTCGGCCAATAAAGCGAGATGAGCGCCGTAACCCCAAAGTCGGTCATGACTGGACCTAATGGTCAGGGGTCCCTTTACCTTTAATATAGTAGACAGATAATAAAAGGATATATACAATTTTACAGTATGCAGAGAATAACATGAGTTGAGAAATCAGAGAGAGGAGCTGAGGGAAGTCTCTGGGGGGAGGGGGGAGAGTTCTTTGGGGAGGGGGAGGGGAAAGGGGGGGAAATAATGCAGATGATTTGTTTTGATAATTTGTTATGTTGAAATTGTTAATAAAAAGGTTTTTTTAAAAAAAGAGAGAGAGTGAGTGGCTGGCCCAAGTTCATGAACTGAACGTCATGGCTGAGCGGGGATGTGAACTCTGGTCTCCCAGGTCCTAGTCCAACGCTCTAACCACTACACCCCACTGTTCTACTGCTGAGCTAAGGCCCTTCTATCTGATTTGGACTGGAATTTCACTTTGGCAATGATCGTTGTGGCGTTTGCCTCCTAGGTGGGTCATAAGGAAAGGGTTAAATGAGTGTGAAGCGATTGGCCAGTGGGAACCTAAGGGGAGGAGTTAGAGTTAGAGTTGGAGTTGTTGGAAAGTCAGTTGAGAGTTGGGAGTTGGAGAAGAAAGGGGGAGGATAAGTCTGTGTGTTGGTTGAGTGTGTTGTGAGAGAAATTGTTAGGTGGAGTCAAATAGTTAGTTGGGATAATCAGTTTGAAGTTGTTAGGAACGTACAGTGGTACCTCACAAGATGAATGCCTCGCAAGACAAAAAACTCGCTAGACGAAAGGGTTTTTTGTTTTTTGAGCTGCTTCGCAAGACGATTTTCCCTATGGGCTTGCTCGCAAGACGGAAACGTCTTGCAAGTTTGTTTCCTTTTCTTAACACCGTTAATACAGTTGCAACTTGACTCGAGGAGCAACGCATAGAACGTGGTCGGGTAGCCTTTTGTGAGGTTTTTAAAGACTTTGGTGATTTTGAAGCTTTTCCAAAACTTTCCCGACACCGTGCTTCGCAAGACGAAAAAAATCGCAAGACGACAAAACTCGCGGAACGAATTAATTTCGTCTTGCGAGGCACCACTGTATAGGACAGTAAAGGAACTAAGATTAAGAAACTGACAAGAAAAATTAACTGAAACCATAAGCTTGTTCATGCCTATAAAATAAACTTGATTATTTGTTAATGTTAACAACTGTCTGGACTCCGTGTGTACCCGTGAGAAACGGGTTGGTGGCAGCGAAGAAAGCAATTACAGTGGTGGCACAGGGTCAATAGACCGTCAAACGTCCGGGGACCCTGTCTTTTTTGGATTCTTCCAACTCTTGGTGTGTTCCTGGGACTGAACCCCTCTGCCCTGACCCGAGTCTGGCTCCCACTTGACAGCTGCCTACAGCTCATCCTCCCATGCTAAGACCAGGCTGGGTCATACTTTATGAAAGCTCAGTTGGCATAAGCTTGGAACAGCACAAAGTCTCACCCTAGCTCAGGAGTAACCAATACGGTGCCCTCTAAATGATGTTGGACCACATCCCTGAACACTGGCCATGCTGGCTGGGGCTGGTGGGAGCTGGAGGTCCAGTAACATCTGGAAGGCACCTGCCCAAGCTACACCACCTGCAGTGTTGATTTCCCTTACACTGCACAATAAGCTTGAGCAGCCTGCCTGCTAGCCTGTGCCAGGAAAATATCTTGAAGGAGGAGTCCTTGCTGCAATGCGTTTCCAGAAACCTTATTTGCTTTCGGTCTCAGGTAGCAGGAGGAGAATACAGAGAGACTTGAAACTTGGGTGCTCCTGAAGCCTCAAGTAGCAATCCGTAATCCTGGAAGGCTGGAAGTTGCCTCTTATAGCTGCCACTTCCCTTTCAACAGAGCTCAGCAGGACCACTCCAGAGGAACTGGTTGCTGATCCCATTATATACTGGTTCCCCCGCTCCTCCACCCCAATGCTTTAGTGGTTTCAAAGAAGAAAATGGCAAAGGACCCCACACTTGCCCTATGCCACAGCCATGCAGCCTCTTCAAAGCAATCTAAATTGCTTTTGTTAGCAGTTTAAAGGGGGGGGCCAACAACAACTCCAAGAAGCAAACCAACGCCAACACTTTGTGAATTTACAAAGGAGCCCGCTATTCCCCCCCCCCCAAGAAACATTCTCGATTGTATCCCTTACAAACACAGAGATTAGCCACTATAAAAACACACACAAACAAGAACGGCAGCCATTTGGTTATAATTGCAATAACCAGAAGCACTCTGCAACCCGACGCTGTCAAACGATTCCGTGCTTAGCAGACGTTCTGCTCGAATTTTAATTACGCAGGACAATGGGACGCTGCCAGTAGCTAGTATCCATCGGCTGAGCAATTAAGCTGGCAGGATCTCGAACTCCAAAAACAAAACAAGAGAGACAGAGGCCGGGGGGGGGGTGGAGAGGAAGGGAACTACTAGTTATTGAGCTGAATGCATCGCTTCTTTCCTAACATATGTACACTGAAAAGCCCCCCTTTTTGTGGGTGGAAAGAATCGGTCTGCCCCCAAAGGACACCGAGAAAGCACAGAACAAGCCGGCCATTAAAAGCAATTCATCGAAAAGATCTGTCTGCAGGAATATGCAGAATTAAGAGGAGCGATTTCTCTCCAACGGGTCTGGTGGAACATCGGCTTAGAACAGGACTTCTGGAGTCTCTTTAAATGGAAGCTCTGAGAAAGCACTCTGGATACCAATACCCCATGGAATGAGCTTATTATTTATTGCATTTACAGTGGTACCTCGGGTTAAGAACTTAATTCATTCTGGAGGTCTGTTCTTAACCTGAGGTGCCACTTTAGCTAATGGGGCCTCCCGCTGAGGGAAGCTGCACCGCCGCGTGCGATTTCTGTTCTCATCCTGAAGCAAAGTTCTTAACCCAAGGTACTATTTCTGGGTTAGCGAAGTCTGTAACCTGAAGTGTCTGTAACCTGAAGCGTCTGTAACCCGAGGTACCACTGTATACCCCACTTTCCTCTGCAAGGAGCTCACAGTGGTGTATATGGTTCTCTTCATCCGCATTTGGACCTGTGAGGGAGGGGAGGCTGAGAGGCTGCGACCGACCCAAGGTGACCCAGGGACTTCTTTGGCTGAGCAGGGACTTGAACCCTGGTCTTCCAGGTCCTAGTCCAACCCTCTGATCACTAAATTGCCCACCTATATCCTCTCATCTGACCTTGGGGAAGACCCCCCAGGAAAAAGTTCACTCCACCCTCCTGCTGCAGGCTCTCTGGAGAAATGGGTTTTCCAGGAGACTCAGCTGGAAATGAAGGTCTTTGTGCACAATCTAGAGGATTTCCTATTTCATTTATTTCTAAAGAAATGTATACCACTATTCATCTCTCTCTCTCTCCCTCTTTCTCAGTTGTTCACCACAACCATACAGGAAATAGTAATAGTTACCAAGTAATAGTTACCATTTTAGTTGTTTTAACCTGTCAGTCAAAGACACTTGTCTTCCTGCTCTTATTCTGGTTTGTTTTTATAATTACTGTATCTTGCTTTTATAATGTTGTATTTTAGCTATTTTAAAACTGCTGTTCTAGAGCTGTAATGACAACCTGAAACCATTTAAATCAGAGATAGCATCTGATACTATTCTTACCCGGCACAGTGAATGGCTAGGGATGATGGGAGTCATAGCACAACAACATCTGCAAAGACACCTGTCCCTCATCCATGATTTACAGAATAAAATTCAGGATTAAAAATATGTCACAGATTAAAAGAAAATCCATGTACGTATATGTTGCATTCCAGGGCCGTGTGTGTGTGTGTGTGTGTGTGTGTGTGTTTGTGTGTGTGTGTGTGTTTCTTCTGCAGGCAGAGAAAATGGTTCTTTGACCCTCCAGCTGTTGCTGAACTACAACTCCCATCCGCCTTGGGAAGCACAGCCTGAGATGGTGAGACATGGAGTTCCCACATGGATGATTTCTGAAAACAAGCCTTGGTGGGTGGAACTTGATTGCATCTCAATTGTCTTTCTTTCTTTTTTTGCTCCAGTCCACCTGAGCTCGATATTAAAGGTAAAGGTAAAGGGACTCCTGACCATTAGGTCCAGTCGTGGCCGACTCTGGGGTTGTGGCACTCATCTCGCTTTATTGGCCGAGGGAGCTGGCATACAGCTTCCAGGTCATATGGCCACCATGACTAAGCCTCTTCTGGCGAACCAGAGCAGCGCACGGAAACACCGTTTACCTTCCCGCCGGAGCAGTACCTATTTATCTACTTGCACTTTGATGTGCTTTCAAACTGCTAGGTTGGCAGGAGCAGGGACCGAACAACGAGAGCTCACTCCATTGCGGGGATTCGAACCGCCGACCTTCTGATCGGCAACTCATAGGCTCTGTGGTTTAACCCACAGCGCCACCCGCGTCCCTTGAGCTTGATATTAGAAGGAATTATATTCTTCCTGACTTTTCAAATTCCTAGCAGAGATGTGAAGAGGCAAAAGGAAGGAGACAGTGTGTGGCACGAAGATGCCTCTGAATTCATCGCGAAAAGAAAACGCTTCCCAGGGTCAACTCTACCTCCCTAAATAACCTGGATTCCAGAGACCAGCGTTTATCTGCATCGATCTGAAAGCAAAAGGCGAAGTTCAAACACGACGGAAGATAAGGAGCTCCTCCGTCCCAGCCATGTACTTAAGACACCTGCAGACCAGCATTGCACTAGCATAGATTAAGATCGCTTAAGACAAATGCTCTAAGAGAGAAAAGGTTAAAATTAAAGGTGGTGGCGTTCAGACTTGGGGCGGTGGTGTTGCGGGAGCATCACTGCAGACATGAGAGATAAAAATAGCATTACCCAAGCTGTAACCTGCAGGTACACGAGAGAGAAAGCTGACTGGGTAGACTTGTGAGAAAGAATTAATAATTTATACCAGCGTTCGCTCCACATTTAGGAATCCTTATTGGGAAAGCACAGAAAGGGACACGCAACAAAATGATGGCTTATGGGAGGACATTAGCACAAGATGCGATGTGATCCCTGAAGCAGCTATGAACTCTCCAGCTGGCCTTTGGCAATCCTCTCTCTCTCTCTCTCTCTCTCTCTCTCATCCTCACCACCCACAACATCTGCAACATGAGGAGAACCACCCTTGCCTACCGTACAGGGTTGCTGTAAGGATTACGAGAACAGACAGTGCTTGGAAAGTTCATTTTAAAAAAGGAACTCTAGTTCGAGTCTGCCCTTTTCTCAAAGTCCAAATTCATTCGAATCTTCATTTAGTTTGTAAAAAATAAATTTATCCTCTGCATCCCACCGCCCCACAGCGTTCGGAATATTGCAAGTTGCTGTGTTGAAGCATAAGGTCCAAAAATAAATCAGGGGCTCCACACAAGTAATTAGAGGTTGAACAAACAGTATGCCAACAGGTAAAACTTTCCCCATAATTGGATTTTCATACTAGAAAAGGCTTGCCCTCGCTGGTCACAGGGAGAACAGAAACTCCTTGTTACAACAGATCCACTGGCTGCCAGTTCATTTCTGGGCACAATTCATAGTGCTGTTTATGACCTACGAAGTCCTATTTGGCTTGGGCCCAGACTATCTGAAGGACCATATCTCCCTAAAAGAGCTTGCCCAGGCTTTGAGAACTTCAAAAATCTGAAGGGCTATTACATGGACGATGGAGCAAGTTTGTTTTCTGCTGCTCCAGAAGGTAGGACCCAATCCAATGGATTCAGATGGTAAGGATAGAGGTTCCAACTAAACATTAGGGAGAACTTTCTAATGGTAAGAGCTGTTCAACTGTGGAATGATATCCCTGGGAAGGGGATGGACTCTCCTTCCTTGGAGGTTATTTAAACAGATGTTGGATAGGTCATCAGGTGGTCTTTGTGACATGTCGCTCTGCACCTCCTGCCTCCCACTTCAAAATGGAAGTATATTTAGGCTACTGCTACTAATTAGTTACCTGTTAACTCTCCATGTTCTCAGTTAGGAGGCATAGTGCATTCAACCAATAATAATAGATTTTTAATTAGGATTAACTCAGAGTTGCCACCTGAGAAAGTGTCCGGTGCATTTGGCTCAGCGGTGAAACAATCTGTTCAACGCAACTTTCAATAAAGATCAATGAAAAAACCGCCACCAATGTTATCAAGCCAGGAATCGGAACCAGTGTTTTCATTCAAAGAACACATTTTAAATTGCCTGCCTTTCCGAATCATAAATCATTTGCCTCTGATATTTTCCCTGACAGAAAGAAACAGTTATTACCATTAAATATCGCATCTGCATTCAGGATGGTGTAATAACTATTTAAAAGCGATTCATCTGGCCAATTATTGGCACACGCTCATTCCCAAAAACAAGAAATGGCCTTTTAGAGCATCAAAAGTTTCAGGTGGGATTTGATCTCATAGCGGCAGATTCAGTTTCTGCAATTATAGTTGATTGAAAGGGAAATGCACTGGGAAAGAGTAGGAAAACACTTGAATTGACACAATCTCCCTGCAAGCAAATCAGAATGAATAAATGAATTAAATAGGTGATGCCACCTAGTCTCCCTGAAAACAGATCAGGATGAATGCTCAAATGCGACTTGCCGATCAGAAGGTCGGCGGTTCGAATCCCCATGACGGGGTGAGCTCCTGTTGCTCGGTCCCTACTCCTGCCAACCTAGCAGTTCGAAAGCATGTCAAAGTGCAAGTAGATAAATAGGTACCACTCCTGCGGGAAGGTAAACGGCCTTTCCGTGCGCTGCTCTGGTTTGCCATGCTGTCCACATGACCCGGAAGCTGTACGCCGGCTCCCTCGGCCAATAAACCGAGATGAGCGCCGCAACCCCAGAGTCGGTCACGACTGGACCTAATGGTCAGGGGTCCCTTTACCTTATGTATATGTATATATATTTGGCACCTTGAAGACTAACAGTCCTTCTACCCCAATGATCTCAGGTTGGTGTGTTCTTCCTAACAGCCCTGTTATGTGGGCTTTGTTAATAAGAGATTTGCTTAAGATCACCCCGTGTGCTGCATGGCTAAGGAGTTGTCTAAATCCACTAAATCTCAACACTCAAGCCATAACACTGCATTGACTCACAACAGATTTCTCTTCGCACTATATAGGTTCCTCTGTGGATATGTAAAACAGGTAAAACATTCTGCTGTTCCGTTTTTGCCTCTGAGAAACAAATCAAGCGGATTCCGCTGGTTCTCCTTTGTTGCACTATTGAGATTTGGACTTTAATTAGGATTAACCGAGTTACTGACAAGTTTTCTGTGCGCGAAGCATTGAGACATTTGTCCCAATGTAGACTATAAAAATTGCATAACTGCATGAATATGCATAACTGCATAAATATATATGCACATATGCTTGGAACACCCAAGATGTATATCTAAAAATATCTATCACTCTAAGATGTATACCTAAAAATGGATAAATACTGACACCTGATGATTGACAGATAGGTTGTCCCACCTGTCTGTCAAACCTGGCCTGCTGGGGTAGGGGGAGATACTGCACAGGGTTGAACAGCCTGTGGAATACTTGATATAAGGTGAGTTCGTTCCTGGTTAGTGCAGGGTGAGGGCATGCCAGCCAATTCTCAGAATGAACTGGTTGAAGCACCTGAGCAGAGCAGAACTGAACTCCCTGTGCATCAGCTGGTGCCTGGGTGAAGGCTCATTCTTGATTTCTGCAGCTGCATCTGTACCTGCCCCACACCAGAAATCACATATTGTGGGAATGTTAATGGTGGCAGGAGAGGTCATATTGTTTATTAATATCCTTCCTAACTTTTGCACTAGCAAGTTCCTTTACTTAGCAGAGTTTACATTCCCCTTTTTATATACACAGCAGATAGCTGGCTGCAGGCTCGTGTGAGCCTCTCACTATTGTACAATTCAGTCTGTTAAGATTGAATTGTACGTTCCTGGTAAGTAACCATGAATCCCTCTTAAAAGAATAGATGCCACAATCTTATTCAAGGCCAATAAAAGAAGTTTACTTACGACAGTTCACAGTTGGATACCTGAAGGCAGACTTAGTTACAAATATGTGCATGTGGATCTACCCCATATGGGGGAATAATCCCAGTGCCTCTGCTAGCTAAGAGCTAGCAGGGCAGTCCTAGCTAAAAGTTGGTCAAACAAAGAAGGAAGGCAAAAAGAGGGAAGTGTGCAGTGTGATCCATCTTTTTGTTACCTGGACAGGTTAGGTTGGGTTAAGGTTACCAGACATCCCCGTTTCCCGGGGACAGTCCCCAAATTTACAAATCAGCCCCCTGACAAAATCTATCTATTTAGTAGGAAGTTGAAAAGTGTCCCCAGATTCATTGAAAAAAAATCTGCTAACCTTAGGTTATGTCACGCCCACCTTCTATCACATGCAAAAGGAAGGATGCTCCAGCCAGGAGGAACAGGAAGTTTTGACTGGCTGGACCAAACATTCCCTTCGCATGTCTTCTCTAGCATTACAAGGAATGCTGCACTTGACTGTCTCTCGTGGATCACATCCCACACATATGACACAATGTATGAGGCAGGTGTGGGTGGTTTCATAAAAGTGGCCTCATGACCAAATGGGGAGGGCTGGTAGGCCAACTTTGGCCCGCAGGTCAGTGGTTCCCGACCCCTGGTCTAAAGGTTGGGACAGCCCTGGTTTGCAAAGTGAAATACCCACATCCCAGACCCATCTGCATCATCCAGGAACCCACTGCCAGGAACAAACCTTCTCAGTGGCTCTCAGTTCCCAAAACAACCTGGTTGCAAACCCAGCTCTGCACGGATAACCTCCATAGCTGTCAACTTACAGATTTGAAAATAAGGGACCAGCAGCCTCGAAAATAAGGGATTTTAGTAAACCAGCAGCCAAACGAAGCCTCAAGTGGTGGTTCCCATAGCGCAGCAACCCGGCAAAGGGATGCAGAAAGGAAAACCACCGTCACCTCTCTACTGGGAAGCGCTGAGCAAAGGTGAGTCCCCAGGCAACGCAGCCGATTTGATCGGCACAAGGCATGCAAGCTCCACCCCCCAGTCGTTCTTAGACTCCTTATTGGGTCAGCAACACAGCCAAGCAACACAGTTGGAGCCTCTCTCCACCCTGGCCGGCAGGGAGGGAGGTAGAGGAGCTGCTTCCTTTGAAACCCGGGAAATTTAAGGGACATCATCAATAAGGGACAGCAGCGAGACATGGCGCTGGGATAAGGGACTGTCCCGCCAAATAAGGGACGCTTGACAGCTATGATAACCTCTGTGGCAGAACAAAATTCGATTAACTCCTGAATGCATGCAGTTATGTCCAGCTCATGAAAATAACTGCACCTGCGACCACCCGCTATCATCTGATATCGATTGAACAACCATATTACATGCTAGCAGAAGGGAAAAGGAAAAGAAAGCATATATACAGAGAAAAGAGGCTGTGTAAAACCCCAAGCAGATTTCTAGGTTGGGAGGGTCATTAGCTATAGAATGCAGCCCATCTGTCAGGTTGCCAGCTTCCTCTAAACACCAAAAACAAAAACAGAATCCCTAATTGCTAATTGAAAGATCAAAGCCACGGGTTGCTCTGCGCCATATGGGAAGAAACAGTAGGAATCGGGAGGCCCAGGAAACAAAGTTGTAAAGGAGAAGCGCTCGCTAAGTTCCCTGCTCTGCGGCACGGACGAGATTTTGAGAGAAATCTGCATCAAAGTCAGTCAAGGATGGCTGGTATCATCTTGCTTCCACCTTGAGACAGTGGATTGACCCACCAAAGTGCTAGGGTTAATGGGATTCGGGTTGATTAATTGATTCAGGTTGATTAAGTGGGCATAGTTAAGGAGCTAAGAAAAGTGTGCTGAATCAGGCCAATGGCCCATCTAGTCCAGCATTGTGTTCTCACAGTAGCTAACTAGATGTCTGTGGAAAGCCTGCAACCAGGGTATGCACACAATAGCCCTCTCCCCATAAGGAAGACTTCCGTGACTTCCATGAGAGTTGTAAAAGAATGTCTAGCCCAGCAGAGTAAGGACGCAGGTGGCACTGTGGGTTAAACCACAGAGCCTAGGGCTTGCCACCAGAAGGTCGCCGGTTCGAATCCCTGCAACCGGGTGAGCTCCCGTTGCTCAGTCCCTGCTCCTGCCAACCTAGCAGTTTGAAAGCATGTCAAAGGGCAAGTAGATAAATAGGTACCACTCAGGTGGGATGGTAAACAGTGTTTCCGTGCGCTGCTCTGGTTCGCCAGAAGTGGCTTAGTCATGTTGGCCACATGACCTGGAAGCTGTACGTCGGCTCCCTCGGCCAATAAAGCGAGATGAGCGCCGCAACCCCAGAGTCAGTCACGACTGGACCTAATGGTCAGGGGTCCCTTTACCTTTACCTTAGCCCAGCAGAGTATCATAAACAATGGAGTGTCATTGGCAGTAGTAAGCAGTACAGTGGTACCTCTGGTTATGAACGGGATCCATTCCAGAGGCCCGTTAGCAACATGAAAAGAGCGCAACCCACAGCGGCATGTCTGCACACACATGGGTTGCAATTCGGTGCTTCTGCGCATGCGCGTGATGTCATTTTGCGCTTCTGCGCAGGTGCGAGCGGTGAAACCCAGAAGTAACCCTTTCCGGTACTTCTGAGTCACCGTGGGGCATAACCTGAAAGAACATAACATGAAGCAAACGTAACATGAGGTATGACTATACTGTGGGGGGGGGCAGTTCTCACCTTGAAAGATGCCCAAAATTACAAAACCTGCTGAAAAATGGGACAAGCCCCACCTGTCCTCACAGCTGCATCTCTGCTGTCTATTATGGGGATGAGGAAGTTATGTTCACATCCACCCTATACGTTTAAAGCACTCTTATATAAGGTCATGGTTCCCTCCTGGGGACTGTAGCCTGCTAAAGAGTTTGCTAGGAGACCCTCACAGAGCTATAACCAGCCACACCACTAACTATAGTTCCCAGGATTTTGGAGGGGAGCCAATACTGCTCAAGTGGTGATGGATGCAACCTTCTTGTGATGATGGGACTACAACTCCCATCATCCATGACCCTCCTGGAGGGGACTCTGGTTGTCCTTTGGCTTCTTCGGTGGAGTCCTCTGCATCCGAGGATGGAAAGATGACATCTTCAGGAAGGATGGGCTCAGTTCTGCAGTCTTTGACCTCATCCTCTGAAAGAGGGGGAAATCTGACCCCAGGGTCATGACACTTTCCTGGCCCAGCCATCTTAGCACCCGCTCTGTGCAGAAACAAGAGATACAGTGGTACCTCAGGTTAAGTACTTAATTCATTCCGGAGGTCTGTTCTTAACCTGAAACTGTTCTTAACCTAAAGCACCACTTTAGCTAATGGGGCCTCCCGCTGCCACTGCACCACCGGAGCCCGATTTCTGTTCTTATCATGAAGCAAAGTTCTTAACCTGAGGTAATATTTCTGGGTTAGTGGAGTCTGTAACCTGAAGCGTATGTAACCTGAAGCGTATGTAACCCAAGGTACCACTGCACTTGGGGGGAGTCGAGAAAAGGCTGTGCACCTCAAACCTGCCGACTCCAAATTCATAATGCAGGAAGGAAGGAAGGATGCCGCAAAATAAAAACGAATAAAACAAAAATAAAGCCGGCAAGGAAACGAACCTAAAGGGACCCACATTTCCACTCTGTCAGGAGAAGCAGCCGTGCCAAGTGAGAGCTGGCAAGGCAAGAAGGTGCCAGCATGCATTTGGAGCTAAAAACAGAAACCATGTCAAGAAAAGGCCCTGAATCATTTCATCGCAGCTCTTATCCCTCCGAGGGCATTTCTCTGTCTCAGGCAGCTGTTACAGGAAATCGTGCAGGGAGACGATAATAAGTTCTAAAGCCATACAGGAGTTAGGAGTCCCTGGACAAAACACTTTGGACCTTGGTCTGGATACCAGGGTGGCCCATGAACCAATATACCAGAGTCTACCTAAGAGAGGGGGGCAGGGAAGTTTTTTCATATATATATATAAAATTTTAACATATAAATTCCAACAATCATTTAACATAACTTCTTATCTTATACAATATTTTAGACAACAACCTCTGAAGATTGTCCGTTCTTTATCACTTATTCTGCATTTCTTAATTTCTCTATTACTTTTAATTGTCCTTAACTAATCGTTCTTTTCAAAGTCTCCCTTGCAATATTTGACAAAGTCCTCCTTACAGAACTACTAGCGTAATCTGTTTATCACAATTGCTTTTCAAATAATTCAAATATTTACTCCAGTCCTCTAAGCACCTCTTATCCCACAGGTTTCAAATCCTTCCTGTTATTTTATCTAATTCTGCATAGTCCATTAATTTCATTTGCCATTCTTCTTTCATCGGTAATTCTTCTTGCTCCCAGGGTGGGGAAGTTTTTTCAGCTCAAGGGCCACATTCGATTGTTCTGGGGGCCGCATGCCAGCAGCTGGGCAGGGCCAGGGTGAAACTGGGAAGAGCAACAAATGTAAACTTTACCTTTCTACTGTCGCTTCGTTTCTACACACCCTTTCACTTCAAGCAAGAGGCATTGTCAGTCAGAGCTCAAGGATAGGCATACCGTATTTTTTGCTCTATAAGACTCACTTTTTCCCTCCTAAAAAGTAAGGGGAAATGTGTGTGCGTCTTATGGAGCGAATGCAGGCTGTGCAGCTATCCCAGAAGCCAGAACAGCAAGAGGGATTGCTGCTTTCACTGTACAGTGATTCCTCTTGCTGTTCTGGCTTCTGAGATTCAGAATATTTTCTTTCTTGTTTTCCTCCTCCAAAAACTAGGTGCGTCTTGTGGTCTGGTGCGTCTTATAGAGCGGAAAATACGGTAAATGCTCGAGGAGGAGGCAAAGCAAGGCCAGTGAAGGAACGACCTAAGAAGAGTCTGGGAAGCCATTTCTTCTTCCAATAAAAGGTCATCCAACTGAGGCTGATTGAGCCCCAACACTAAACCCAGACTAAAATTGATCCAGATAAGAGGTTTTCTGCAAGAGCCCCACCCCCTTTGAGCAACTTAACCAAAAAGTGAGTACCATATTTTTTGCTCTATAAGACTCACTTTTTCCCTCCTAAAAAGTAAGGGGAAATGTGTGTGCGTCTTATGGAGCGAATGCAGGCTGCGCAGCTATCCCAGAAGCCAGAACAGCAAGAGGGATTGCTGCTTTCGCTGCGCAGTGATCCCTCTTGCTGTTCTGGCTTCTGAGATTCACAATATTTTTTTCTTGTTTTCCTCCTCCAAAAACTAGGTGCGTCTTGTGGTCTGGTGCGTCTTATATAGCGAAAAATACGGTATTTGTGACTGGGTGGTAATGGTAATAAACTTGTTTTAAATGCATTTTTATTGTTCTGTATCTCTGTTTGTAGGGACGCGGGTGGTGCTGTGGTCTAAACCACAGAGCCTAGGGCTTGCCGATCAGAAGGTTGGCGGTTCAAATCCCCGCGATGGGGTGAGCTCCCGTTGCTCAGTCCCTGCTCCTGCCAACCTAGCAGTTCAAAAACATGTCAAAGTGCAAGTAGATAAATAGGTACCACTCCAGCGGGAAGATAAACGGCGTTTCCGTGTGCTGCTCTGGTTCGCCAGAAGCGGCTTAGGCATGCTGGCCACATGACCCGGAAGCTGTACATCGGCTCCCTCGGCCAGTAAAGCGAGATGAGCGGCACAACCCCAGAGTCGTCCGCGACTGGACCTAATGGTCAGGGGTCCCTTTACCTTTACCTTTACATATCTCTGTTTGTGCCACCTCACGCTTCTTTGGAATGCACTGCCCATATATCTCCTGCCTTTGTCTGTGACAGGGATTCAAGGCAGCTTACAAATAAAAATAAGAACGGCTAAAAACATAGGTGTGAAAATAATCATTTTTGTAAAAAATTGAACACACACACATGTGCGGTGCCTCAGAACGTAACTTCCACGAAAATGGGGGCTTGCCTGTAATCTACGAAAAGCATACAAGTAACTAGAATAAAGGGACGCGGGTGGCGCTGTGGGTAAAACCTCAGCGCCTAGGACTTGCCAATCGCATGGTCGGCGGTTCGAATCCCCGCGGCGGGGCGCGCTCCCGTCGTTCGGTCCCAGCGCCTGCCAACCTAGCAGTTCGAAAGCACCCCCGGGTGCAAGTAGATAAATAGGGACCGCTTACCAGTGGGAAGGTAAATGGCGTTCCGTGTGCTCCGCTGGCTCACCAGATGCAGCTTGTCACGCTGGCCACGTGACCCAGAAGTGTCTGCGGACAGCGCTGGCTCCCGGCCTATAGAGTGAGATGAGCGCACAACCCTAGAGTCTGGCAAGACTGGCCCGAACGGGCAGGAGTACCTTTACCTTTAACTAGAATAAAAGCAGCACTAGCCCTTTCATCAGTTCCCAAAAGCCAGTTGGAACAAGAAAGTCTCCACCTGCTGGCAGAAGGACAACAAGGAGCCTAGCTTCTCCAGGGAAGCAGTTCCAGAACCTAGGAGCAGCCACTGAGAAGGCCCTGTCCATCATCCTCACCAGGTGTCCCTATGAGGGTGGCAGGACTGAGAGAAGGGCCTCACCTTAAAGTAGCAAAACCGAGATAGGCTCATAGGAGAGATTATGTTCTTTTAGATAGCTTGGACTTATTATTTATAGTCATACCTCATGTTACGTTTGCTTCATGTTACGTTCTTTCAGGTTATGTCCCGCGGCAACCCAGAAGTACCAGAAAGGGTTACTTCCAGGTTTTGCCGCTCGCACAGGTGCAGAAGCGCAAAATGACGTCACGCGCATGCGCAGAAGCAGTGAATCACAACCTGCGCGTGCACAGATGCACCACTGTGGGTTGCGCTCTTTTCATGTTGCGAACGGGCCTCCAGAACGGATCCTGTTCGCAACTAGGGGTACCACTGTATTATTATTTATTTTTTGAATTTATATGCCAGCCTATACCTGGGGGTCTCAGGGCAGTTCACAGAAGAAAATCAAGATATAAAACCACATAATACATAATAAAAACAAAAACAACAACCCAATAGCCCCCCCCCCAAAAACACATTTTAAAAGGGCATAGGATGTAAATGAGATCAACCAAAGGCCTGGTTAAAAAGGAACATTTTTGCCTGGCGCCTAAAGGTGTATAATGAAGGCACCAGGCACCCTGGGGAGAGCATTCCACAGGCAGGGAGCCACTACAGAGAAGGCCCTGTTCTCATGTTGCCACCCTCCAGAGCTCTCGAGGACTTAAGCCGTATAGGGCTTAGGAAGAGCAGGATATGAATTTAACTTGACGGTGATGATACCACCTCAGTCCAGGGGCAGGGTGGTTTCAGGATCGCCTGAGCTACCACTTCTTAAATGAATAATGACAAAGAAAACACACAGTGAAAGGGGAAAGGGAGTATTCACAAATGGCTAGAGTGAGCTCGCCCTTGTTATCAGCATAAAACAGCGCAGAGTGAAATGGATATCGTTACAATCAGCACGGCACATTAATGAGGTTTGCAAAGAAAGAAAAGGCTTGCAAAAGTTGGCAGGTAACTTTAGCCGCTCCCCTAGCACTAAATCTACTCAGCAGGCACTCGCCATCCATCATCCCGGCAAATTATGTTTTAAAACCTGCTCCTCCGAAATAAATAAATAAATGTTAATCACTCCCCTGCGCGAGTGGGCAGACAGGGCTTGAGCGGCTTAGAGAAACACACACACACAAAATCCCATGCTATCAGAATAAAACTATTTGCTCTCAGCTTCTCTCTGGCAATCAATCCACTTCCTTTGCAAACAATGAAATTTGGTTTGGCAGCATGTAAGGATGGAGTCTGGGGTCCGGGGGAAGGGGGCATGTATGTAGCAGATACACAGCTGAACTGGAAATAGGAAGACCTGGGCTAGAAATATAGGGCGCTGCTGTATACCAGGTCAGACCATTAGAGTTTTTAATTTGGAGTAAAGGTAAGTAAGAAGGAGGGACGCAGGTGGCGCTGTGGGTTAAACCACAGAACCTAGGACTTGCCGATCAGAAGGTCGGCGGTTCGAATCCCTGCGATGGGGTGAGCTCCCGTTGCTCGGTCCCTGCTCCTGCCAACCTAGCAGTTCAAAAGCACATCAAAGTGCAAGTAGATAAATAGGTACCGCTCCGGCGGGAAGGTAAATGGCATTTCCGTGCGCTGCTCTGGTTCACCAGAAGCGGCTTGGTCATGCTGGCCACATGACCCGGAAGCTGTACTCCCTCGGCCAGTAAAGCGAGATGAGCACAGCAACCCCAGAGTCAGTCACGACTGGACCTAATGGTCAGGGGTCCCTTTACCTTTAAGTAAGAAGGGTCATGATTCTGCACGGCACGGAGGAAGTGGATGGAGAAAACCTCTCTCGTAACACTAGCTCTCATGGACACACAATGAAGCTGAATGCCGGAAGATTCAGGACAGTTAGAAGAAAGGAGTTCTTCACAGCACATAGTTAAACTATGGAACTCACTCCCACTGGAGCCCCTTGGATACCTTCAAAAGACATGACAAAGTCATGGAGGACAAGGCTATGAATGGCTAGTAGCCATTCCTAAATATCAGTTGCCAGAAACCGAAGGAGAGGGAAGCACTCTTGTACCCGGGTCATCCTTGGGGGTTTCCCACAGCCATCTGGTTGGCCACTGTAAAAACAGGATGCTGGACTAGTTGGGCCATGGGTCTGATTCAGCAGGCTCTTCTTTTATCCACCTACTTGGAGTAGACTCGTTGAAATTAAGTCATGTCCATTCATTTCAATGGGTCTACTCTGAGTAGGGGAGACATGGACTGCAGTCAAGTGATGCATCAAACTTTTTCCTAGTCCAGCTTGGACTTGGTGATTGAACTTGGAACCTTCTGCATGCAAGGCAGATGTCCCACCACTGAGCTATGAGCTTTTCTCAAAGGGTTTGTATAACTGCTCAGCCTTGGAGCTGACCAGGTCCCCTTGGCAGCCATATGTGCTCAGCTTAACCTACCTGACGAGGTTGCGTGGCGAGTTCCCACCTCCCACCAGAAGAAATAAAGACACAAGACACCATAAGTTAAGGTTAATGGGCGAAAATTGGCCACAACGTTATTGATTGCAGGAAATGAGCGGTATCGGCCTAGGCATTGGTCCTATCAACTATCCGGCTTCAGGCTGTATGCCTGAGAGGCTGGGAAGTGTTAACACCAGCAGGGGGAGCCCTGCTGATGCACATCAACTAGGCACTCCCCTGGGGTCACCGTTCAGGGGCGTGCCTTGGGCCCTGGCCTCCCTAGGCTTCAGACGGGGCCATGCCCCCAGAGTCCTTTACCGGACTACCCTTCGCAACTGGGGGAGGTGATGGCGCTCCTCCCCCCCCCATCCATCTACATAACAATACTCCGACCAATGCCTCACCGCCAAACTGTGGAAGTTGTGACAATTTGCTACGAGGTAGGCGAAAAAACCAAATGGCCGGTGCCAATTTGCCAAGTGGAAAAATTCCTATCAGGCCCCTTAACGGCGACCAACCGAAGTCCATAGCAAGGTCAAAGGGAAACCTTAAAGGGAGGGTGGGTGGGAAATTCCCCAGCTGATCGGCGGCGGCAAAGAGGGAGCTCCTCTGCCACGCTTGCCTTAAGAGCGGCAAGCCACACCCCCTGAGCCAGCCAATAGGCTGGCCAGGGGATGACGCAGCAGAGGATTCCCCCTGTACGCACGGGGCTGAGAGCCAGCCTCTGCGTGGGAGTTGGAGGGTGGGAAGCCTGCAAACCCACCTCCTCCCTAGGGTCGGAAGTGGCTTTGTGGTGAGAAGAAGTGAAAGTCATAAGGAATGTGGCTAGATGACTTGCTCCAATTGCTTTATATCTTTTTTAAAAATATATATAATTTTTATTAAGTTTTCCATATTTCATTACATTTACATATCAAAAATCAAAAAATCCATAACTTAAAGCATTGCTTAAATAAAGCATCGACTTCCTTCCCTCCCTCTAACAGACTTCCACACACTTTTACCAATTTCTTCACATTCCTATATCCACTTTTTTACCTTATATCAATCTTTTAGCAATCACCTTCTTATATGTAAATCAGCTCCTTAATTTCCCATTACCAAACATTTCAACACAAACCTACAAACGTTTCCAACTGTTTACAATTTTCTTTCATATAAAGTATAAATTTGCCCCAGTCCTTATGAAACGGTTCATCACGCCGATTCCGGATCTTCCCCATCAGAGTTGCTTTATATCTTAATAAGTTTATCTTAATAATGACAAAGGCAGTGATGATGGGAACAGATTCTAACACAAAGGGCCTGATAACACAACTGGTCATTCTATGAGCCTCTTTGGTTGTTAATAGGGGGCCTCCTTTGCCTGCAGCCCCTATTGCCATATAACTCTCAAAACATTATCCAGAAAGGAAGGAGGCCCACAAAAAAGATCTCCTTTCCAAGGTGACTCTACTGGTTGGGTGCAAACGGCAAGGGAGACTGAAGTGGAAGCCAGCACTGATGCTACACTAGTTTTCTGGATGCACAGGAGGAGGGGAAGGAGACAACTTCCCTTAGGCTAAGCAAGGCTCATCCACATAGCTCTAAACCATAGTTTAGGGTGATGTGTGAACGGGACCACAGGTTGACACACTGAAGAACGGAGAGAAGGGGCTTTCTTGGTTCATCTGACAACCACGGAAGATAGAATGCCACCTTACATTAGGGCCATGTTCACACCATACATTTAAAGAAGAGGAAAAGGAAGAGGAAGAGGAGGAGGAGGAGGAGGAGGAGGAGTTTGGATTTGATATCCTGCTTTATCAGTACCCGAAGGAGTCTCAAAGCGGCTAACATTCTCCTTTCCCTTCCTCCCCCACAACAAACACACTGTGAGGTGAGTGGGGCTGAGAGACTTCAGAGAAGTGTGACTAGCCCAAGGTCACCCAGTAGCTACATGTGGAGGAATGGAGACGCAAACCCGGTTCACCAGATTACGAGTCTACCGCTCTTAACCACTACACCCCACTGGCTCTCAGTGTGTATCACACCACTTTAAACAGTCATAACTTACCCCAAAGGATCCTGGGAAATGTAGTTAAGGATGTTGAGAGTTGTTTGAAGACCCCTATTCACTTCCCAGGGTTCCCCGTGAAGATAGACTGGTTGTTACACAACTCTGGGAATTTTAGATCTGGGAGGGTCTCCTAACGACTCTCAGCACCCTGAACAAACTACAGCTCCCAAAATTCTTTGAAGGAAGCCATGATGGTTTAAAGTGGTGTTGCAGTGCTTCAAACGTATGCTGTCGATGTGGTCTATATTAAACCATTACAGTGGTACCTTGGGTTACAAACACTTTGGGTTACAGACTCCGCTAACCCGGAAGTAGTACCTCAGGTTAAGAACTTTACCTCAGGATGAGAACAGAAATTGTGCGGTGGCGGCGTGGCAGCAGCGGGAGGCCCCATTAGCTAAAGTGGTACCTCAGGTTAAGAATGGTTTCAGGTTGAGAACGGACGTCCAGAACGAATTAAGTTCATAACCAGAGGTACCACTGTAGTTCACCTAGATCTAGCTCAGAGCTACCTACTGAACTACAGTGCAGTCTACACTGACAAGCAGCAGACCTCCAGAGTTGCAGAAAGGGGGTTGTTCTCAGCCCTATCAGGAGATTCCATGGATAGGCCCTAGGGCGTTTGGGGGTCTCAAACCCAGAAAGGTCTTTCCCATCCCTTGCTAATTTTTCTTGTTTTAACTGAAAATTCCCCTGAGGGAACCTGGAACCTTCTGCAAGTAAGCAAGTGGTTCCTGGAGATCTCTGCTTGCTATCCCGTTCCAATTGCTGCTATGGAAACCCAGGATCGTGCCAACGACTCAGGATTTCAGCTGCAAAAAGGGGTTACGGGGAAGGAAAACCAAACGTAGCTCATGCAATTTATTAAAACTGCCAAGTTTGCATAATTTAAGCTGAATGAAATCACAGTTAATGGCCCTGTTGCTTGAAGCAGTGTGTTCTGCCAGGATATTTTCTTCAAAAAAAGAAAGAAAAAAGATTTAAATATGAAAAGTCTTCCTTTTTAAAAAAGGAATAAGCATTCTTCATTAGCTAGCAGGATGCAGGATGTGCCCTATTTTCATGACAATCTTGAGTTGTCATTTTTGTGTGTGTTCAAAAGGACCATCTTTACCCTGGGATATAACAAACCTCGTGAACTTCACTGGGCAAACGTGAAGCATCAGCAGGGCTTATTCAAGCCCACCACAATGCTTTAGAACTAGGAACCCCGAAAAAAAGGGACATGAATATTCATCTTCCAAAATTTAATTGGATTTTCTACAAGCTGCACGCTGGAGGAGAAGTAATATTGCGATCGAAAAATGGAGAGCATTTACACAATAGGGGCTCATTTGTCAGAATGATCAATAATATTTTTATTCCAAATGAGAGCAAAAATAATGTTCTGTGTAAAATACAAAGTGGGAGAAAAATGCAGAAAAGGGAAGGGCAGGTGTTTAATAATAAGAGGCCCTGCTGGTTCAGGCCAGAAACCATCAAGACCAGCATCCCAATCTTACAGTGGCCAGCCAGATGTTGTTGTTTAGTCATTCAGTCGTGTCCGACTCTTTGTGACCCCATGGACCAGAGCACGCCAGGCACTCCTGTCTTCCACTGCCTCCCGCAGTTTGGTCAAACTCATGTTGGTAGCTTCGAAAACACTGTCCAACCATCTCGTCCTCTGTCTTCCCCTTCTCCTTGTGCCCTCCATCTTTCCCAGCATCAGGGTCTTTTTCATAGATCACTTCCTTGCCGTGGCGAAGGGGCTTGAATAACTCAGAGAAGCTATGAGCTATGCCGTGCAGGGCCACCCAAGATGGACAGGTCATAGTGGAGAGTTTTGACCAAACGTGATCCACCTAGAGCAGGAACTGGCAAGCCACTCCAGTATCCCTGCCAAGAAAACTCCATGGACAAAGGCAACAGGCCAGCCAGATACCCCTGGGAATAAACTCTCCTCTTGCAATTCCCAACAACTGGCATTCAGAGTCATACTGCCTCTGAGAGTGGAAGAAGGGCATACAGTGGTACCTCGGGTTACATACGCTTCAGGTTACAGACTCCGCTAACCCAGAAATATTACCTCAGGTTAAGAACTTTGCTTCAGGATGAGAACAGAAATCATGCTCCAGCAGCGCGGCGGCAGCAGGAGGCCCCATTAGCTAAAGTGGTGCTTCAGGTTAAGAACAGTTTCAGGTTAAGAACGGACCTCCAGAACGAATTAAGTTCTTAATCCGAGGTACCACTGTAATCATTTTGACCATTATTCAGTGACAGCCTTATCCTCCATGGTTTTTGTCTAATCCTCTGTTGAAGTTATCCAAGTTGGTGGCCATCACTATCTCAGAACCTCTGAGTGTTTCTATATTCCAGGGCCAGTCCCGGATTTACAGTAGCCGTCCCGATTTCTGATTTGATCCCAGAATGTCCCGCTTTTCCTTAGGATGTCCCTATTTTCATCGGATAAATGTTGGAGGGTAGGGAGTTATGCGACCCTCGAGCCAAGGAGATAAGTAACTGCACAAGCTTTAGAAGACATCTAAAGGCAGCCCTGTATAGGGGAGCTTTTTTTTTAATGTTTAATGTTTTATTATGTTTTTATATACAGTGGATGCTCGGGTTGTGAACGGGATCCATGCGGGATGCACATTCGCAAGCCGCAGCAGCACATCTGTGCACACATGGGTTGAGATTCAGCGCTTCTGCACATGCTCAAAGCACAATTTAATCTTCTGCACATGCGCAACAGCCGAAACCCGGAAGTAACCCATTCCGGTACTTCTGGGTTTCAGCGGTCCGTAAGCCAAAAAAATGCAATCTGAAGCGTCTGTAACCCAAGGTATGACTGTATGTTGGAAGCTGCCCAGGGTGGCTAGAGAAAACCAGTGAGATGGGTGGGCTATAAATCATCATCATCATCATCATCATCATCATTGACTAGGACATCCCTATTTGCACCGGAGAAAAGTTGAAGGGTATGCTATCTCTTCTGGGAATGAATTCCATTGTTTTCAATCCACTGCGTAAAGAAGAACTTTCTTTTGCCTGTCCTAAATTTTCCAATTTTCAGGTTCATTTGATGTCCATGAGTGAAACCAGGTGATTCTAGACTTTGGAGGTTCATCAGTCTTTGTTGATTTTACCAGTGCAGTAAAGTGAATCCTATCTGCAGAAACCCAAATGCCAGCTATCAAAATACATCCTCTTTCAGGTGGGTGAATAATTCAGGTATTTCATGGGTAGATGCACTTGTGCCTACTGCTGATCATTTAGGGATCTGCACTAAGCTAGCCAAAAGTTGAGATGCAAGTGGTGGGCGGATTTACAAATCTAGCCCAGCAGCCAGATCCAATTCCTTGCCACTGCCTCAGACTAAACCAGAAAATACCCAAGACTCGCTTCCACCCAAAGACTGGAAGACTGGACATCCCTCTTTGCTGAAGGTGGCAAGTAAGCAACCATTAATCAGTAATTATGGCCTCTGTTGTGTTTTAGAGGCTTCTGGGCAAATGTACAGTGGACATTTGCATTATACTTGCAACCAGTAAAACTGAATTGTACCTTTTTTAATTTTTGTGACCTATATTCCTGTTCCTGATTTCACAGTCCTAATAATCATTTTAAAGATATTTATTGTACCCTGCCCATCTGACTGCGTTGCCCCAGCCACTCTGAGTGGCTCCCAACAGAATATAAAAAGAACGCAACAAACATCAGACATTGAAATCTTCCCTGTACAGGGCTGCCTTCAGAGTATAATTGCTCTTTGACATCTGACGGGAGGGCGTTCCACAGGGCGGAAACCTCTGCCTGGTTCCCTGTAACCTCACTTCTCGCAATGAGAGAACCGCCAGAAGACCTTTGGAGCTGGACCTCAGTGTCCGGACTGAACAAGGCGGGTGGAGTTTAGGTATATAGGGCCACAGCCATTTGAGGCCTTAAAGGTTGACCATGGTAAATTGTTCCACTGACCAGTGTTGGTATATTATGCAATGCTGGTTTGTCAGGGCATCTTCAAGAGTTGTAACAAATACTGTTAACTGTGAAGCTCGTTAAGACTTGTGAGGTGTTAGAGTGGAGCACAAGAAAAGCCTCAGGGTAGAAGGAGGCAATTACTCATCTCTACTAGCAGGCAATCCTGCCAACCTAGCAGTTCGAAAGCACGACAAAGTGCAAGTAGATAAATAGGTACTGCTCCGGCGGGAAGGTAAACGGTGTTTCCGTGCGCTGCTCTGGTTCGCCAGAAGCGGCTTAGTCATGCTGGCCACATGACCCGGAAGCTGTACTCCTGCTCCCTCGGCCAATAAAGCGAGATGAGCACCGCAACCCCAGAGTCGGCCACGACTGGACCTAATGGTCAGGGGTCCCTTTACCTTACTAGGAGACAAAGGATGCTAAAGGCAGAGATGAGGAACCTGTGCCCACGACCCGGCCAATATTTCTGGACTCCAACTCCCATTATCACATGTGCACGCACACTTACACACAACAGCAAGCAAGGGAAGATGGGAATTGTAGTCCAGTCGCATCTGGAGGGGCAGAAGTTTACCACCCCTGCTTCAAAGAGATATCCAGAGATATTCTGGTACTCAGTACTAGGCAGGGAATGGGGAACCTCAGGCCTGAGGCCAAATGTGGCCCTCCAGCCTTCTCTATGCGGCCCTCAGGACTCTCCCCAGGCCACACATCCTCCCACAGGCTACACCTCCTTGAGTGATTTTGCCAGGCTGGAATGTGTGCTTGAACCATGATCATGTGTCTTCCTGTCTTGTGTGGAGGATGGAGATAGAAGGAGAAGGAGAAGGAGAAGGAGAAGGAGAAGGAGAAGAAGGAACTTCTGACCTCTGTGTAGCTGGAATGTAAGCTACTGTACAAAGGTTAAGAGTTGCATCCATTGTTCCACCTGCTTTTGCACAACTCTTGGACTCAAAAAAGCTTCCCAGCCCCTTAAGAAACATAGAACCTGCTGACCCAGAAGTAGTGGTGGAGGAGAGGTTCAATTCAGTTCACATTTAAAGGCAAACTTAACCAAATTCTCTCTTCTTGAAACAGTATGTGAACAAAAATGGAGCCATCCTTCGAGATTTGCACTTTTCTGATTTTTGCAACGCAGTTCTGCAGCCAAGTAATGTGTACCAAAAAAAGGCATATACTAAGGTAACGTGTGCATTAAAATGCACATATGTGTGAAAGTAAGAATATGCATCATAGATGGGGAAACTGCTTTGCAAAAATGTGCATATTAAGAATTGTGCATATTAGGAGAAATTTGCGCTAAAATGTTGATGAATTTTCACAAAGACTTTAAAAAAATTCACAGACTGATGTGGAAATGAGGAGAACCGAACTTGCAACTGGAAAAATGTGAATCACCCATCCTTTACCAAAAGACAAGGGGATAGAAAGGAAGGGCTAAGATGATATTGTGGCTTGACTGTGATGCATAGGAGGAGAGGTCAAGGAACAGCTCACACTTCCACTGAGGATTGTCTACACCTCCTACTTCAGGAATTATCTCTTCCCTGGCTAACTTTTCCACCTCCACTAACAGCAAGAGGAGCCATCTTCTCTTAGCTATTTTGGGAAGCCTCCCTCTGTGCAATCTGTTGCAGAATTTCTCTTCCAAGCCAAATTACAAAATAAACAGAAACATACTCCAGGATGTGGCACAAGCGGCCTTTGCCAAGTGGGCTATCCTTAGCACTATACAAACAAGTAACTGGAGGAGGTTTCGATCCTCTTCCTAGCCAAGAGTTTAAATTTAACCCCTAAAGACCATCCTTCCTTTTGCACACACAGAGAGAAAGAAATTTGGCTGCATCCACAATATACATTTAGAGCACTGTGATATGGCGCTATTAAACAGTCACAGCTTCCTTCTAAAGAATCCTGGGAACTGTAGTTTGTGAAAAGCCCCCCTCCCATGGAACTACAATTCCCAGAGTGGTTTAACAACCAACCCAGGGAACTCTGGGAATTGTAGCTCCGCTGCAAGGGGTCTCCTAACATACTTCAGCACCCTTAACAAATGACAATTCCCATGATTCTTTCGGGGTTGCCATGACTGTTTGAAGTGGTGGGGTGAGCTCCTGCTGCTCTGTCTAAGCTCTTGGCAGCCTAGCAGTTCAAAAGCATGCCAGTGCAAGTACATAAATAGGTACCACTGCGGCAGGAAGGTAAACGGCATTTCCGTGCGCTATGACTTCCATCACAGTGTCCCGTTGCGCCAGAAGCTGTTTAGTCCTACTGGCCACATGACCCGGAAAGCTGTCTGTGGACAAACGCCGGCTCCCTCGGCCTGAAAGCGAAATGAGCACCACAACCCCACAGTCGGCTTTGACTGGACTTATCCGTCCAGGGGTCCTTTACCTTTTTTACCTTAAAGTGGCATGATACCACTTTAAACATATAGTGCAGATGGCACAGATATGGGTAGATATCTCCATCCCTGGTTCCAATGCATTAATCTACCTCCCACTCTCACCAAGGGCTGCACATTTGCTACACCCAACGTGTGACAAAGCAGTATCATCCATTGTATTAAAGAGGGCAACGTTCACCTTTTAGCACTTGGATTTCTGACAGCCGCCTGCACAGGGCTGGATGGGAGAGCCTGACAAATAACTCAGGCAGCTAATTACCCCCTCCGTGTTGTCAAGCTCGGAACATTAGCAAGTTGCCAATTGGCATTAGGAAAGCTGCCTGCTTTTGGCCTAGGTGTGAATTGACTGGCAGACTGCAAGCCAGTGCATGATCACTCCTGCAAAGGGTTTCATATCTCAAAGCATTTTCAAAACACAAAGCTGCTTCCCATACGATGACAAATTCCACAGAGACAGCTGTGTTAGTCCGTTACAGCTTTGCATACAAAATGTCACTCGGAGTGTACTTATTGCATTTCATCGCCTTTTCCTCCCACCATTTACAATTTGGTTCTCTATAGCGCCGAACGGGACTATTTGCCCCGCGAAGATGACAACGCTTCGTGCATCTAACGACTGACCTCCAGCTCATGCTAAACAATCAGCCTTGAAGTGCCAGGAAATTCATTGTGTGGATGCACACATAGTGGGTTATCTGCTTGCATGGCAGAAAACTGAGGGCACTCCTTGTGCGGACATCATCACAGGACAATCTTAATCTGCTTGAGGGATAAGCAAATTATGGTCCAAAGGGTATCAAGGATAGCCCCCAGATAGAAAGCCAAATTCGAGTATGATTCATCCATGACCTGAATCCACATTCTGCAACCTGAGTTATACAAATTATGCACATTTAATATTCTACTCTACTTCCCCAAATTACAAGGGAAGAGCAAATGAACTTTGCTTGATAACATATATAATTCACTTATATCCATTGCTTGCTTTTTAAATATTTTAAATCTATACTGTTTAGAAACTTTAGGAATTAAAAAGCAGCGGCAAAACCTGCTGGGCCGGCAATGGGCAGGAAGGAAGTATATAAATGAATGAATTGCGTTAATGAAATGAATTAATATATGAGCGCCATGGGTCTGTTGATGGGAGAAGAGGTTAAAAAATAACAGCAGCAGCCAAATCTCTATCTTTCTCATAAACACATACACACACATACACACAATTTTAGAGAGAGATGGTGGGTGGTGGGGAGGTTCAACCAGGGAGCCTATAATTTATCTACTGGAAGGACAAGATAAATGGGCAGCTATCAACACAGAAAATGGAGAGTCTTGTCACTGAGGTTCAGGATTTTACATTTATTTTATGCTTTCATTCATGTGTGTTTTACATAATTTTATTCAGATTTGCATAAATTCAATTTCTCCCATCCCATCTTATTTTATTTCAATATTTCATTTTAAGTGTTTGTTAAAAGAGGAACAGTGGTTCCCTTTAAAAAATAATAATAATAAGGGATGTATTGTGATCTGCCAGGGAAATTTGCTATGTTAAGTTTATGTTGCAGTTTCTTTCTGTCTGAGTTAGGAACTACTGATGTTACTTGCACACAGAGCCAGTGTGGCGTAGTGGTCAGAGTGTTGGACTGGGACCTGGGAGACCAGGGTTCGAATCCCCACTCAGTCATGAAGCTCATCGGGTGATTTGAGCTTAACCTACATCACAGGGCTGTAGTTAAGATTAACGAAGAGTGAGGAACCATGTACCCCACCTTGAGCTCGTTGGAGAAATAGGTGGGATATAAATGATCTAAGTAAATGAATACTGCTAAACTGCTGATTTGTGATTGTCACAAGTGAATGACTAGATACAACCAAAGAAATATAAATTAATATACAGTGGTACCTCGGGACGCGGGTGGCGCTGTGGGTTAAACCACAGGGCCTAGGACTTGCCGATCAGAAGGTTGGCGGTTCGAATCCCCGCGACGGGGTGAGCTCCCATTGCTCGGTCCCTGCTCCTACCAACCTAGCAGTTCAAAAGGACCTCAAAGTGCAAGTAGATAAATAGGTACCCCTACAGCGGGAAGGTAAACGGTGTTTCCATGTGGTGCTCTGGTTTGCCAGAAGCGGCTTAGTCATGCTGGCCACATGACCCGGAAGCTGTACGCTGACTCCCTCGGCCAATAAGTGAGATGAGCGCCGCAACCCCAGAGTCGGTCACGACTGGACCTAATGGTCAGGGGTCCCTTTACCTTTTACCTTTACCTCGGGTTACAAACACCTCAGGTTACAAACACTTCGGGTTACAGACTTTGCTAACCCGGAAGTAGTACCTCGAGTTAAGAACTTTACCTCAGGATGATAACAGAAGTCGAGCAGCGGCAGTGGGAGGCCCCATTAGCTAAAGTGGTACCTCAGGTTAAGAATGGTTACAGGTTAAGAACAGACCTCCGGAACAAATTAAGTTCGTAACCAGAGGTACCACTGTAATCTCCCCCCCACACACACACACACATTACTCTGCTTTCTACTGCTGGGCAGGTCATTAAACAGTTTCTCCATTTGCAACAAGCAAGGATCGCTGCCAGTCTTTCCAAGAATTTTGGCATGTATTGGCAGTGCCCAGCACCTAAAAGCTACGCATTAAATTACTGCAAAAGTAAGAGTTGAGAAAGCATCAGCAAAGTGTATATTGAAGTTTGCTGTTTAATTAATAAATGATAGTGTTGCATGCGTGCCAAAACAGAATCAGCCGTGAAGGCTTCTTACACCCACCCAAAAAAACAGGCATGTGATTCTGGTTGATATTTCAAAGGATCATCTGAAAAGCCTGGGCCCAGCAGCCAGGCCCGATTAATCTTTGATGGAGTACGCCATATGCCTGCACTCAAGAGGTACAAGCAACGGCCAATCTCCCTGAATTTTACGACTATATCCGAGTAAAATAGTTATGCAGTGCATAATTTTGCATTAGCTTTGTCAGATAAATATACATGTGTGCGCTGTGTTTTCAATTTGCTGCAGCACAATGCTAAAAGTCATTAGCATTTTAAGGACTACACGAGGACGGAGATGTCCCATTTTCCGAATACCGTGCAACTCAGCCATTTCCTCCGCGCGCATAAAATATATCTCCTGATTTATATGTGTGCTCGTATGATTCTCAAACCGAAAGAAATGAATAAAATCACATAATCTGATTCTCTTCCGAAATTAGATTTCCCTCCCTGTGTATAAACAAATAAATCAGACTGTGGAAACCATTCCTAATCAAGAGAGCCGGAGGGTGGGGGGGAGAAGGAAGGCACAAAATGTGTGTTAACTGGAGTAGCAGAACACAGTTTTAATAACTAGGCACACACACAAAAAAACACATTTCATTCCAAAGGTGAGAGCGAGAAAAAAATGTGTAGGGACAGGTAGTGTCTTCCTCCTGAAACGAAAGTGCAGGACGGTGGATTCGTACAGTTGTGTCCAATGCTAGTCCTATTCAGAGTAGACCCATTGAAATTAAGGACCATGACTAACTTAGTTCCATTAACTTCAATGGGTCTACTCCAAGTAGGACTAGTATTAGATACAACCCACTGTTTAACCCACTGTGGACAGGTGGGGTCAAATGCACCCTCAACAGTACTGGGAGAAATCATAAAACCACTGCTCTGTCTCCCTTTCCCCCCCTTGTACTCTGGTGATTGCTAAGAATTGGGATATGGGGAACGACCACAGTTCAGTGGTAGAGCATCTGCTAGCACACAGAAAGTGTCAGGTTCATGGAGCTAGCTGACCTCACTGGAAGAATCCGTGACCAGAAAGAAGAGGAATATCAAGAAGATTGGAAGAAATTTGAAGACTATTTAAATAGATATTGTAACATTAAAAATTAGAAGTTACCTGAAAATATCAATTAGGCCTAGGATTAAATTAGGATTTAATTAAATAAATGAGATTTAGAAGGTTAAGAAAAGTTAAGAAACTTGACTATAATTGGAATTTATTTATTTTTAAATAATGATATTGGAAAACTGCTACATTTAGTTACAAGGAAATTCAGACGGGAGGGACTAGAGGAAGTCAAGTAATATGTTTATGAGGTTGGAAGTTTAATCAATTATTAATTTGTATTGTATTTATGTGTTTGTTGTTATATCTTTTGTTGTTATTTGCTTTATTTGTTTTATTTCTCTTTTTATTTTATTTGTTTTTCAGTATGTGTTATATTTGTAAGAAACCTAATAAACATTATTCGGGGGGGGGGAGAAAGTGCTAGGTTCAACCCCCAGCGTCTCCAGGGAGGGCTGGGGGAGACCCTTGCCTGAAACAGGACAGCTAGTCAATGTAGACAATAATGAGGTAGTAAGGTTCTTGAAGAGGGACGCGGGTGGTGCTGTGGGTTAAACCACAGAGCCTAGGACTTGCCGATCAGAAGGCTGGCGGTTCAAATCCCTGCAACGGGGTGAGCTCCCGTTGCTCAGTCCCTGTTCCTGCCAACTTAGCAGTTCGAAAGCACATCAAAGTGCAAGTAGATAAATAGGGACCACTCCGGCGGGAAGGTAAATGGCGTTTCTGTGTGCTGCTCTGATTCGCCAGAAGCGGCTTAGTCCTGCTGGCCACATGACCCAGAAGCTGTCTGCGGACAAACGCTGGCTCCCTCAGCCTATAGAGCGAGATGAGCGCGCAACCCCAGAGTCGGTCACGACTGGACCTAATGGTCAGGGTTCCCTTTAAGGTTCTTGAAAGCTTCCATGAACAGTGTCTCCAAAAAAATGTACACATCACTGGGGAAGACAGGCGAACTAATGCCAGTGTACTGGAAGAAGCAAACATCACCAGTGTCAAAGCAATGATTCTTCAACATCAACTTTGTTGGACTGGTCATGTTGTGTGGATGCCTGATTATCATCTTCCAAAGCAACTACTCTATTCCAAACTTAAAAATGGAAAGTGTAATGCTGGTGGTCAACAAAAGAGGCTTAAAGACTGTCTCAAGGCAAATCTTTAAAAATGTAGTATAAACACCGACAACTGGGAAACACTGGCCTGTGAGCGCTCCAGTTGGAGAACAGCCTTTGCCAAAGGTGTCATGGGCTTTGAAGACACTCAAACTCAGGACGAAAGGGAGAAACATGCTAAGAGGAAGGCAGGCTTGGCAAACCCTCACCATGATCAACTCCCACCCGGAAACCACTGTCCCCACTGTGGAAGGATGTGTGGCTCCAGAATTGGCCTCCACAGTCACTTATGGACTCACAGTTAAAACCGTGTTCATGGAAGACAATCTTACTCGGCTACAAGAGATCGCCAAAGAAGAAGACTGAACTAGATGGACCAATGGACTAACTCACTATAAGGCAGCTCCCTTTTGATTTCCCGCAATCCTTCTGACATAGCACTACACTGAAGCATTGTGGGAAATTTAAATGGCAGCCCCCATTGGGGGATCTGGGAGCAACCATTTTAATGGAAAATGGAGCAGGAAGAGCACTGTGGATTTCTGAGGGACTATCTATTGAAACCTTTCCAAAGTGCTGTAAGAGGTACTGGCAGACATGCAGGTGCCCATAGGTGCCCATGTTGGCATTCCAGCATCCTAAAGGGAACTTATAGCAGAGCTTTACTATGCCCCCAGTACCTCCAATCTGCGAGAACAGTTGGCTTTCCTCTTTTACACTCAGGAGAGCTTTCTTGACAAAGCATGTATTGCCTGCAACCAACTTAAATTAATGTGTTTTGGATATCGGCCAGCACAGGAAACAAATTGGCCCTTGCAGCTTTCTAAGCATACCTTGAAAGGTAATGAGGCAAAGGAAACACAGGTGCTTAAGGAGGAGGGGGGAGAGCCCTGAACAGCCACAACGTAAGCTGAAAAGAGCCCCCCCGATGCAACACGAGGAATACACTACCGTGTCACCCACTAATCACCCAACTGTCCCCCACACTTCAGTAAACAGAGAACACGGCTTAGCATCTTGGGCCAAGCTAGCAGAAAGCAAAGGAAGGATCCCTTAGTATGGCAGCAATGAACGCTTAGCAGACCACGGGCCAGATCCAAACTGCAAGGACTGGGAAGGCTATCACTGAGGGATGCTGCTTTCCATAATCGAGGTTTGCTCCCCCAGCATCTCCAGGAATAATAATAATAATAATAATAATAATAATAATAATAATACAGTGGTACCTCGGGTTAAGAACTTAATTCGTTCTGGAGGTCCGTTCTTAACCTGAAACTGTTCTTAACCTGAAGCACCACTTTGGCTAATGGGGCCTCCTGCTGCCGCTGCTCGATTTCTGTTCTTATCCTGAAGCAAAGTTCTTAACCCGAGGTACTATTTCTGGGTTAGCGGAGTCTGTAACCTGAAGCGTATGTAACCCAAGGTACCACTGTAATAATAATAATAATTTTATTTATATCCTGCCCTCCCCAGCCAACGCTGAGCTCAGAGCGGCTAACAACAGTAAAAATAGCACAATTTACATAAAATCACAGTCAATTAATTGAAATACATTCTAAAATCAATTCAGAATCAAATTAATGGAAACCATTGGGCTAGAGTTCTATGAGGATTACAGAAGGAGAGAGGGGGTCAGACTGTGCCTTGGCCAAAGGCCTGGTGGAACAGCTCTGTCTTGCAGGCCCTGCGGAAAGATGTCAAGTCCCGCAGGGCCCTAGTCTCTTGTGACAGAGCATTCTACCAGATCAGGGCCACGGCCGAAAAAGCCCTGGCTCTGGTTGAGGCCACCCTAACTTCCCTGTGGCCCGGGACCTCCAAGATGTTTTTATTTGAAGACCATAGGGTCCTCCATGGGACATACCAGGAGAGGCGGTCCCGTAGGACTAGGAACGTCCCCAGAATGAAACCCTGGAGAGTTGTTGCCAAGCAGTGCAGACAAATACAGTGCTAGACAGACCAATGGCCTGAGATTCAGTATCAGGCAGCTTTCTGTGTTCCTCATTTGATATTTACTTGGGTGCAGTTATGTACTGGCAACTCAGGAAGTGCAGGGTCCCTTTGTGATACTAACAGTCATGCCCCCTTCTAAGATTATACAGCCTTCTAAGATTATCCAGTGGTCATATAATTATACAACAATAAAAACGAAGGATGCTTTGCAATGATGTGCTGCCTTTCCACTAGATCTAGTATTTTCTGTGCACCCGCATGGGCAAATAATTTGGAGTGCTCCGCTATCTTATTTCAGAACGGCTCAAGTCGTGATTTCCTAGAAGTTTCAGGAAACAGAATTTGCACACCATTCTTTTGAAACACATTGTGTTTGCCAGGTCAAGGTTTTCTGCATGTTTCCGTCCTCTCCCTCCTAAATCTGTTCTAGGAGTTCCCTCAAGCCTGGGGAGGGCAGAGGGCATGCAAGGGAAAGGGAGAAGCTCTGTTTGCAGAAGTGCACATCCTTGGAGTGGCAGGACACCTTAGCTGGAAACCACCCATTATTTTATTCTTGACATCTTTCCCACCAAGGGCTCCTTTGGGAGGAAGTAGAAGGTAAAGGGACCCCTGACCATTAGGTCCAGTCGTGGCCGACTCTGGGATTGCGGCGCTCATCTCGCTTTATTGGCCGAGGGAGCCGGTGTACAGCTTCCGGGTCATGTGGCCAGCATGACTAAGCCACTTCTGGCGAACCAGAGCAGCGCACGGAAATGCCATTTACCTTCCCGCCGGAGCGGTACCTATTTATCTACTTGCACTCTGACGTGCTTTCGAACTGCTAGGTTGGCAGGAGCAGTGACCGAGCAATGGGAGCTCACCCCGTTGTGGGGATTTGAACCGCCGACCTTCTGATCAGCAAGTCCTAGGCTCTGTGCCACCCACATCCCCCTTGGGAGGAAGAGGGGGATGTAAATTTTAAAGCAAACAAACAAATAAATAAATATGGGCACAGAAACAATAGCTGGCTCTCTTGTAGTTGCATTCCAGCAACTGGTATTCAAAGGCTCTGATCCTTCCCTGTGAAGTTGACCCATCCCCTTTTAAACTTGCTGGCCACTGCTTTAACTGCAAGACTCCATCAATTTCCTTAGTCCTGAAGGAGCATCTCCACCCCTGTCATTCAGCGCAGACACTGAGGTCCAGCTCCAAAGGCCTTCTGGCAGTTCCTTCACCGCAAGAAGTGAGGTTACAGGGAACCAGGCAGAGGGCCTTCTCGGTAGTGGCACCCGCCCTGTGGAATGCCCTCCCATCAGATGTCAAGGAAGTAAACAACTATCTGACCATTAGAAGACATCTGAAGGCAGCCCTGTTTAGGGGAGTTTTTAATGTTTAATGTTCTATTATGTCTTTGCATATGCTGGAAGCCATCCAAAGTGGCTGGGGAAACCCAGTCAGGTGGTCAGGGTACAATTATTATTATTATTATTATTATTATTATTATTATTATTCTCTTCTCACTGCAGCCTTCTTGGCTACCTTCTCTCAACAATCGGTCACCACTATTCTGTCCACAAACCTCTCATTTCAGTGTGTGGGTCCAACCAGTCAAAACAAGTTACAGGTTATACCAAGTGGGTGGGGGAAATAGTCAATCTTATTCAACACCCACCAACACAGATTGGCATTTCATCGCTGGCGCTTCACTAAAGCTACCTGCCCCATGTGATGCACAATATTCGTAATGTCAAGACCTATTATTACCTCCCACTATGGCAATTTAATACAACGCGCAATTAAGAATCAGTATTCGTGTCAGTGGACCCGCTGAGCTGTTAACCTTACACAAAACAGACCTGCCAGTGTCCAGCGCAACGCAGAGTGAAAAAAACATTTGCAGCTTATCTCAAAAGGTTTCTGTTTGTTTCCCTACTTTCCACAGGTTGTTGATCGCCATTGCAGTCGACTGATCCGGTAGCCATTCAGTTTGTCAACATGGCCACAGGCCTCTGAGCTATATCATTGGAGTCGTATCACATTCCTGGCCTTGCTTCAGTCTAATGAATGCAAAGGCAAACATCACCCACATGAGACATACGTCAGATACAGTGGTACCTCAGGTTACGAACTTAATTTGTTCTGAAGGTCCGTTCTTAACCTCTCTGGGCAACTTCCAACATACATAAAAACAAAATAAAACATTAAGCATTTTTTTAAAAACCAAAAAAACCCCACCCTTCTCTATACAGGGCTGCCTTCAAACTGCTCAGGGGTTGGATAACTCCACGCCTTCCAACGTTTTCCCAACGAAAATAGGGCTTCCTAAGGAAAAGCGGGGCATACGGGGATCAAATCAGAAACTGGGATGGCTACTGTAAATCCGGGACTGTCCCTGGAAAACAGGGACACTAGGAGGCTCTGCTACTGGGGTGGAGAAACTGAGAGGCAACACTTTGTGGAAGGTCACCAGCTGCTGTCAAGTGTGGAGAGCCAAGGAGTTATTGGGGTAGGGTGGGGTGGAAGTGGGGGGCATGGGAGGAGGCAGAAACTAACATTTCATCTCAGGTGTGGAATTGGATGCGCCGTCCCTGTACTGAGGCATCTTGCTGATGGCACAGAAGGTATTAGTGGGTACATTTGCACCTGTGGACTCTACACTGATTATCCTGGTCAAACGGCAGCATGCTAGAAAGGCAATAAAATCCAGAAAAATGGGGATAGGCCACTGTAACAGATCTAGACCACCATAGTTGTCAACCATCCCTTATTTGGCGGGAAAGTCCCTTATCCCAGCGCTGTGTCCCGCTGCTGTCCCTTATTGAGGATGTCCCTTAAATTTCCCGGGTTTCAAAGGAAGCAGCTCCTCTCCCTCCCTCCCTGCTGGCCAGGGAGGAGGGAGGCTCCAACTGTGTTGCTTGGCTGCGTTGCTCACCCAATAAGGAGTCGACTGGGGGGCTTGCATGCCTTGTGCCGATCAAATCGGCCGCGTTGCCTGGGGACTCGCCTTTGCTCAGCGCTTCCCAGCGGAGAGGTGATGGTGGTTTTCCTTGCTGCATCCCCTTTGCCGGGTTGCTGTGCTGTGGGAACCAACACTTATGGCTTCATTTGGCTGCTGGCTGGGCTTTCTGCCTTTGGCTTGGAGGGGCTCAGAAGTTGAACATACCTGTGCTTGGAAAATCCCTTATTTTGGCTGCTGGTCCCTTATTTTCAAATCTGTAAGTTGACAGCTATGCTAGACTAGCCAAGAAAATAAGCCTGCAGAGAAAGCTAGGTGTCTCTGCAGGTATTCAGAACTGGCTACAACTCCACCAGAGGAGCAAGGACGCAGGAGATAACAAGTGAGTGCCTTTGTTTCTAATATTTCAAATTAAACACTGGAGCTGTTCCATAGGGTTCATCTCTATCTCTCCCTCTTCATGGTAAGGGCATCTTTTCCATCATCTAATTTGCAGATTGCCCAAGGCACTCCCTGACAATCTGAAGAAAGCTCTACAGCTTTCAGTGCGACGGCACGAGCAGACGCTAACGGAGGCGAGCAGGAGGTGAAGATTGGAAAGGTGATGGCATAATACGAAATGCTGTACGGCTTTATCAGAGGAAAGAAAAAAGCCCCACTGAACAACCCAGTAAAATTTAAAAACAGCGTGGTTCCAACATTGCCAGCAGGGGGGTCGATAACCTTTATAGGACCGGGAGGCACGTTTTTGATTTAGAGAGTGTGCTGTGGGCACAAGTCACAAAATAGCTGCCGTGGAGGAAGGGGCAGAACACAAAATTGGAGAGACAGCCACTCTTGTGGGCAATGCATTCGTTGGGGACAGAATATGCTGCCGCTGGGGATCCTGCCACCTGAGGCAGACTCCTCACCTTGCCTCATGGGTGGGCTGGCCCTGATTGCCCTCAAGCCCTGAGCCTCTGCATGACGACCGTGAGAAACAGGAAGTTGGATGTGATGGATTCAGCTGAGCTCCGTCGGATGCTAAATTTTGTTTCTCCTTCATGTGTTGTGGGAGTGAAACTATTTTGGCAACCAGAGCCTAGAAACTTCCATTTTATTTTGAGAACAGTTTGTCTTTCTGAACCTTTGAATGCTATAGTTGGATGCCTTCCAGCTATCTATATAAGGGGCCTGACAGGCCAGCGCCGTTACTGGGGGTAGACAGCTCTTCTGGTTGCCAGACAGAAAATCTGGTGAGGCTGGATTGCTAAAAATATTCTAGACATTCAACCGCAGGCTGAAAACAGATCTCGTTTGGCATCAATTGGAATTTAGTAAATTGGATAAAAATTGATCATTTTCAATCAATCCATATCCTTTTTCTGTTAGGATGTTATGTGTAAGTGTGTTTGCAGGTAAGTTGCCTAGTGGCAATTTTGAGAATATAATTATTATTATCACCATAATCATCCTTGATTTATTGATCACCTTCTAAACAACCATCTTGAGGCACTTTACACATTAGACAATTAAAAACATTTAAAAACATGAAAGCAGCAAATACATTTAAAACAAGGCGAGAACAAAATTTGAGACAGCAACACGGATACTACTGGTCCAGAGATAGAAATAAGACAAAGTTCCAACCAGAGATGAACGGCTGATGAAGATGATGGACTACACCGAAATGGCGAAATTGACTGGGAAAATCAGAAACCAGGAAGAGAAGAATTTTAAGAAGAAATGGGGGAAAATTATGATGCATTTAAGAGAACACTGTACTGTAAACAGCTTAAAACTTCAGCAGGATTTGAGTAATGCTTGTAATGTACGAAAAACTATAGTAAAAATGGATTGTTTTTCTTAAAAAATAGAGAAAATAAGGGAAGCAGTTGGGGGAGAGATTGATAATGGTAACCATGGAAGGGTGGAGGGAAGTCGAAGGATTCAGGAAATCCTAAATGATAATGTGGATGTTTTGTTGGAATTTAAATTTGTTTTAAAACACATGCCAGCTTTTTATGTGTGATTTTATCTTATTTTTATATTTTCGAACTGTTGGTTTTATTTGCATTGGATTTTTTTTTAGGTTAGCTTGTTTTTAACTCTGAGTTTTAATCAAGAATCTTAATGTATATTTAGTATTCTGTAAACCACTTTGGGGTTTTTAAGACTGAGCCATGTGAATGCAGCTGTAATTTTGTTTTGAAACAATTCAAATAAAATGCTATATATTTAACTTGAAAAGTTTGGCATGGCTATCCTATGTAATGGGTTTATAATGGTTTAAGCCTGTTCTTATTTTTTTCCCTTTCCCTTTCTCTTTCTTGAGAAAAAGACTATAACTATAAAAGTACTCTGTGTGTGTGTATGTATGTGCACGGCGCACCTTAAAAGTATCATATAACAATTATTTTATAATTTAAACATATATCAGTATATTAAGACTCCTTTCGATTTAAATTTTTATAGAATGCCCATACACCTAGCAAACGCTTATGCACCACAAGCATAATATGTCTCATTACGGGTCAAGTTCAATGGGATTTACCATCTGATAGGCATGTTTGAGATTTGCAGCAATAGTATAATAAGATTCTGGTCTGCGTGCACCCTCTCAAACTAGCCAGATGTGGACATTTAGCAATATAGCCCATCTGGGAGCGACAGCATATGCTGAACGGAGCTTAAATATCCGTGACCTAGTCATTCCATTTTGACCGATCCTTTCCTCAGAGCCATCTAGCATCAAAGGATAGACGCCCCCCCCCCAAGTGCCTTCACCACCCCCAAGTGTGCTGCAAAACTGAAACTTCTGCCCATAGGCCAGCCTCTGGCATTACAGTGCCCTTAGCATTCCCCATCTCCAAAGGGGGTGTTTGAACTTCGGAAACTTAAGCGCAAGGTGGAAATCAGGAGTCTTTGGGAAACCTCTGGGCCTTGTTATAGAATACAAATGGATGTTGCTGTCCTCAAACGATGAAGGTCAAAAGTAGAAAGGCAGTGTTATTATGACGAATTGTTATACAGTGGTACCTCTGGATGCAAACGGGATCCGTTCCAGAGCCCCGTTCGCATCCTGAAGCAAACACAACCCAGGTCTGCACGCGCGCGGGTCGCGATTCGCCACTTCCGCGCATGTGCATGACGTCATTTTGAGCATCTGCGCATGCGCGAGCACCGAAACCCGGAAGTAACGCACTCTGTTACTTCCGGGTTGCTGCGGAGCGCAACCCGAAAATGCTTAACCTGAAGCTACTTCAACCCAAGTTATGACCATCTTGGGCCAAAGAACCACTGCGTCTCAAGCACTTAGTCCACCAACAGGAATTAAATGCATTAATTTATTTAAAGTACAGTGGTACCTCAGGTTAAGTACTTAATTCGTTCCGGAGGTCCGTACTTAACCTGAAACTGTTCTTAACCTGAAGCACCACTTTAGCTAATGGGGCCTCCTGCTGCTGCCGCGCTGCCAGAGCCCAATTTCTGTTCTCATCCTGTAGCAAAGTTTTTAACCCGAGGTACTATTTCTGAGTTAGCGGAGTCTGTAACCTGAAGCGTATGTAACCCCAGGTACTACTGTATTTCCAAGCCACCCTTCATCCAATGGCTTCCGCGGTGGGGTACAAAAAGTACATGGCAAGACATTTTAAATACCACATTGTCATTTACCTTGTAATTTATAGTAAACAGGACACTTTGGGTGGAATTAAATGCCATTGCCCAGCTGAGAGTCGTGAAGACTGCTCCCTGTAATCAGGGACGAAGGATGTACGTGGGGCCGGGCCGCCCCAGGTGTCACCCCTGAGGGGGGTGACAAAATGCCTCAGCTGTAGGGCGGCTGAGTAGGAGGAGGCAGGCAGACTCCTCAGAGGCCCCATGGAGCATCCTGCCCAGTTGGCCCCGCCCCACAACAACTGGCCCCGCCCCACAGGCAGCTGGCCCCGCCCATGGGCACAGGGCATGCACGGTGCCCCAGGTACCCAATTGGCTTGCTTCGCCACTGCCTGCAAGGCCCTTTCCACCTGGCCTAGGTGGGGGGGCCCACACTCACCAGCTCTACCAAAGAGGCCCCTGGTGAGACTAGAGAGACATTGCTATGCCTGAAAACAAACCCAAACTATTGGATTCTTTTGCCCCATCTTTTTGCGCCTGCCAAACAGCCGTGTCTTGTTTATCATATTTTATTCTCTTGTTAATTATGCTGTTTTAAATGTGCATTTTATATTTGACTCCACTTAGCAATGGTGGGTTGTTGTTGTTTTGAAACGTTTAAGATTTTTTTCGTTAACTTTGTTTATGTTAAATATGTATTCTGTAGCTGACCTCCTTTGCAATGCTTTATTTTGAACTCTTTAGGATAATCTTTTAGTTTTCTGTTAATTATGTTGCTTTGACTGCAAACACTATATTGGACTTTCTTCAGAAATGTTTGATTCTGGATTGATTTGTTGATGTTTTAATACGGTGTAAACCGCTTGGAGGGTTTTCTTAAAAATATAAAGCGGTATAGAAATGAAATAATAAAATAAACACTAAGACCATTGCTCCATCAACACAAGCATTTCTGCCTGCCAGATGGATCAATCTCTCCACTCCATCTCCCCCCGCCCCCTGAGCTGTTCTGGGGATTCTCCCAACCCATAGGCCAGAGTTTTCCCCATCCTGGATTAAAAAGACCGCACAGCACAGGCTTCAGATAACTGTTGGCATCCGCCTGTCTCGTGAAACAAAGAAGTGCGCCTCCAGGGTGAAAGCCACTTCCAACCTACAGAGGAGGTGGGATTGCAGGCGTCATGGCCCCAGCCCCTGCGCGATTGGGGGAATCCCCAGCTGTGTCACCCCTGGCCAGCCAATCGGCTGGCTTTGGGGGCGTGGCCTTCCCGATTTAAACGCAGGCGCAGCCGGGGATCTCCCTCTTTTCCAGCATACCAGCTGCTCCAGTTTCCCACCCTCTCACCCTTTAAGGTTTTGACCTTGCTATGGACCTTGGTTGGTCGCCGTTGAGGGGCCTGGTTGGAATTTTTCCACTTGGCAAATTGGCACCAGCCACTTGGTTTTCGCCTACCTTGTAGCAAATCGCCACAACTTTCTTGGTACTGGCGGTTAGGCATTGGTATCATTTTGTAGATGGAAGAGGGGAGGAAGCGCCATCACCTGCCCCGCATATTGAAGGGTAGTACGATAAAGGATTCCGGGGGGCGTGGCCCTGTCCAAAGCCTATGGAGGTGAGGGCCTAAGGCACACCCCCTAGCGGTGACCCCGGGGAAGTTCCTAGTTGATGTGCATCAGCAGGACTCCCCCTACTGGTGCTTAACCCTTCCCGGACTTCAAGCGGACGGGCTGAAGCCGGATATAGCCAGTTAGGACCAATGCTTAAGCCAATACCGCTCATCACCTGTAACCAATAAAGTTGTGGCCTTATTTAGCCCATTAACCTTAATAATTGTGTTGCGTGTCTTTATTTCCACTGGGGGGGGGGACTCACCACACAAGTCAAATTGCTGTGTTAGCAGCACTGCGATGACTTCTCAAAAGGTGCAAGCCTGGGCAGCGTGTCTGGCAGTTCTGGGCTGCCCAGATGGCAAGACCTCCCTCTCAGCCTCGCTGTTGTGGTCCAAAGGAAAGAAAAGCAATACATTTGGCACCAGCTTGTCTGCAGGAGTTGCCAGAAGGAGGCGTACAAGGTGCCATCCTTACAGTCTCCACTCTGGGTGTGATGGCCTGGGATTCAGACTCAGATGCTGAACCTGAGGGATCCCAGCCTGCACAGGATTCACCGCCTCCAGAACCAGCTGAGCCGGGGCTGGGGCATGAGCCTGAAGGGTCCTCACCTGTGCTGGATCCTCAGGTGCAGGCACCAGCTGACTCTGCTCGGGCCACTGAGGTGATGGAGGACCCATTGCCTGTAAGCGCTCCACTCTCAGCCCCATCAGAGGAAGCTGAGGTTGCCTCTGGGTCCGGTAACCCTCCAGCCTCTCCTGAGCTGCAGAGGCTCAGGGCAGAGAGGTGGAGGGAACTAAGTTCCCGCAGGAGGAGTGCTCGCCTCCAGGCCAGGAGAGGTGAGTCACCTGAAGATTGGGGCTGCCCTATGTCTCGGGGCAGATAAAAACCAGCCAGCCCCAGTCCCAAGTTGTGGGAGCAACATTGTTGGTTGCTAATTCCTGCCTGAACCCTGTCCTGCTTTCCTGCCTGACCTCCTGACCCGCCCTGGCTCCCTGCTTGCAAGCCTGTTCCTGACTTCACCCGGCTCCCTGCCCTGCACCCAGCTTCAGCTACTACGGACTGCCTCCACGTTGCACCTTGACCACGGACCAGACTTGGACCTCGCCTCTCGGGTAACTCACGGGACCAGCACACTGGATTTGTGTAGGGTTTACTCCTTAGCTTTTTCTTCTCCTGAAGATATCCCACAAGGCAGAGGAGGTTTAGGATCAGAATTTTCCTTCTCCTAGATCAGTGGTTCTCAACCTTGGGTCCCCAGATGTTTTTGGCCTACAACTCCCATGAGCCCTAGCTCACAGGACCAGTGGTCAGGGATGATGGGAGTTGTAGGCCAAAAACATATGGGGACCCAAGGCTGAGAAAAGCTGTCCTAGTTGGTCTACCTTCCCAGGTTGAGGAGGCCTCTCACTTCCCTCTACAGCATATTCAGAAACTGCCTTTTTAATCACTGGACCCACTGTTAGTCTTGTCTGCTCGGTCCACAGGAGCCTGCCTTCACATGGAGGGGTGGTCCCTAATTCACTGAGGGTTTGAGACCCATCGGCTACCCTCACCTGGTTTAGTTGGCCGGCCAAAGCTGTTCCAGGGGTGTGGCCGCTGTCACATGCAGACAGCTTCTAGGAGCCACAGGTAAGAGCTGAGTGCAGGGCTCAGATGACTAGGAGGTGACAATACAGGCTTTGCCGCTGTCTCACATCTTCAAAAGAAACCGTCTGCCAAACAGCATCAATTGCATGCAGCTGTAATGGGCTTGCTAGCTGAACCTTGCTCTCTCAAACACAGCAGCGGGGCTGGTTCTTCAGATCATCTCTGCGCCTCCATAATATAGGGAAGGGAAGGGAAGAGCGGGCTGTGGTGCTCCAGGTGTGGCACCTCTCCCAACAGCCCCAGCCAGCTTGGCCAATGGACAAGGGTGATAAGAGCTTGTAGTCCAGCAAAATCTGAAAGGGCCACAGTTCCCCCAGCCTTGAACTAGGGCTTTTACTACCACCTGTGCAACCCTTAACACATTGCAATTACACTTCTCCTAGACATTATTAACCTAAAGATGAAATACAGTTGTACCTCAGGTTAAGTACTTAATTCGTTCCGGAGGTCCGTTCTTAACATGAAACTGTTCTTAACCTGAAGCACCACTTTAGCTAATGGGGCCTCCCGCTGCTGCTGTGCCACCGGAGCACGATTTCTGTTCTCATCCTGAAGCAAAGTTCTTAACCCGAGGTACTATCTCTGGGTTAGTGGAGTCTGTAACCTGAAGCATATGTAACCCGAGGTACCACTGTAATAGCAAAATAGAGTTCCACTCCCAACCCAGGCTTATTACCGTATTTTTCGCTCTGTAAGATACACCAGACCACAAGACGCACCTAGTTTTTGGAAGAGGAAAACAAGAAAAAAAAATCTGAATCTCAGAAGCCAGAACAGCAAGAGGGATCGCTGCACAGCGAAAGCAGTGATCCCTCTTCCTGTTCTGGCTTCTGGGATAGCTGCGCAGCCGGCATTTGCTCCATAAGACGCACACACATTTCCCCTTACTTTTTAGGAGGGAAAAAGTGAGTCTTATAGAGAAAAAAATACAGTAACTTATTCTTGCATGTTAGGATTCTCCTGTCTAACTAAATGCTTGTGACCTTGGGAAGCATTTTCCCCTCACCTCTTTCATTGTCTTAATATTGTATTTTAAGTGATCTCTGTCCCTCGGACTAATGCCCAAACTGCGTTGCCAAGCCGCTGGGATTCTCCAATCCTGACAGCCATGCTGCAAATCTGTTACCTGCTGTTTCTGCAGAATTCCGCAGCCAGAGATGGCTCAACGGAGCCAAGAGCGCAGATGTGTTTGAACTTTAAACAGTCTAGATATCAATTGTTTTGATCTATAAGCCCCAGAAGGCCAACTCAATCACAGAGGTATCAGGTTAAGCTAATTTACCATTCAGAGCCGTCTTCCAGACATGCCTAAGTTGCAAAACTGTAAGACGCTAGACGGAAGCAAGAAACGGGTAATTGCTTCCAAACAGGGAGTGAAATGGTGCAATGCTCCACCTACCTCAGAAGGGGGAACCGCAGGTCCTGAGAGCAGAATGTGGCCCTCCCTGCCTCTCTATCTGGCCCCCAGAGTTTTCCCCAGGCTAGACATTCCTCCCTGGCCCAAAGTGTTTTTCCTGGCTGGAATGTGTCCTTGTATAGGTGCATGTGTGTAGACACTAGCCTACAGGACAAAGACAAATCTACATTCATTGTTCCACCCACTTTTGCCTTTGGCACTGCCCACCACTGGCATGCAGCCCCTGGAAGGTGCTCTATGCTGCAACATTGGTTTCTCTTTTATTGCTCTTAATAGGTAATGTAACAGCCTGTGAAGTTACCCAACCCAAATGCACAATCATGTACACAATACACACAGCTCTTAATGCCTTCCAAGTTCTCCACCAGATGTTGCCTTCAATCAGAAAGTGAGAGTCAGTTTCCAATCTGCATTTGCTACAAAAATTGCCTCGAGGCTGCAATCCTTTTGCAGTCACACTTCCTCCACAAGTAGATGCATGCGTGCTTTGTGTGCTTCTAGACCCCTGAGCAGATTCGCATTCCAACACACATGCCAGCAGATCCAGCTCTACAAGAATAATTTAGAGGTGAGAAACCACGAGAGGAAGGTGGGGGTGGGTTCCCTTCCTGCTATACACTATGCATATACTTGGACTAGCAATCACTTGTTATCGTGCAATAGGGGAAATGTTCCATCATGTGTATTTTGTAATTCCATACTTCTTTTATCTGCAAGCAGGCAAGTAAACTCAAAACAGACATGACAAGGGAAATCTAGGGTTTCATCTCTCGGCTCCTAGACACTCACTTCAAAGCAGCCATGGTGGGCTCCTTTCCTAATCGGAGGAGTGCGTGGCGCTGTGCTCTAAACCACTGAGCCCCTTGGGCTTGCTGATCAGAAGGTCAGTGGTTCAAATCCCCGCGACGGAATGAGCTCCCGTTGCTCTGTCCCAGCTCCTGCCAACCTAGCAGTTCGAAAGCACGCCAAAAAGTGTAAGTAGATAAATAGGTACCTCTGTGGCAGGAAGGTAAACAGCGTTTCCATGCTCTCTGGTTTCCGTCACAGTGTTCCGTTGTGCCAGAAGCATTTAGTCATGCTGGCCACACAACCCAGAAAGCTGTCTGTGGTCAAACGCCGGCTCCCTCGGCCTGAAAGCGAGATGAGCGCTGCAACCCCATAGTCGCCTTTGACTGGACTTAACCGTCCAAGGGTCCTTTACCTTTACCTTTTGCTAGGGGAGATGAAGTTTAATTTTAGTGAGACAGTGTGGTATAATGCTTAAAGTGTTAGGTTCAAATGCCCAGCCCTGCCAGGTGAGCCTGGGTCAGTTGTGGGATGAACAAATGACAAGCAAGAAGACACGCAATCTGCAAACAAATAAAGATTAATGTGGGGTGATTTTTGCTCACTCCACACACAGAAATCAGAACAGATGACCAACAAAAACGAGATTTAGCCTAACTTCCACGCAAGTCGTGTGCAAACAAATCAGGATGAATGCTCAGTGAACAGGTCATCTAGAGGTGCCCCAATTCTCCAGGCAAGCTGAAAATCTGTGCTCTATATGGGAGGGTTTCCAAGCTCTGTAAGATGGCAGGCAATTGCTCTGTATTTTTAACCTCCTCCAGGGCCACTTGAAAATGGGATCTCTTCTTGTGGAGTGTAGCACAGCAGTCTGGGAGCAAATGGTTGTAAAAATTGTTTTATGATGTGGTTTCAGATTGTTCTTTGCCACCATGAGGATCCCGAGGGGCTGAACAGCACAATATAGGTAAAGGTAAAGGGACCCCTGACCATTAGGTCCAGTTGTGGCCGACTCTGGGGTTGCGGCACTCATCTTGCTTTATTGGCCGAGGGAGCCTGTGTACAGCTTCCGGGTCATGTGGCCAGCATGACTAAGCCGCTTCTGGCGAACCAGAGCAGCTCACGGAAATGCCGTTTACCTTCCCGCCGGAGCGGTACCTATTTATCTACTTGCACTTTGACATGCTTTCAAACTGCTAGCTTGGCAGGAACAGGGACCGAGCAACAGCAGCTCACCCCGTCACAGGGATTCAAACCACCGGCCTTCTGATCGGCAAGCCCTAGGCTCTGTGGTTTAACCCACAGTGCCACCTGCGTCCCGCCTGAACAGCACAATACAATATTATTATTATTATTATTATTATTATTATTATTAGCAAAATCATTTAAATAACAGACATGGAGTCCAGAGCAAGCAAATCTGGAAAGAAAACCCAGTGTATAATTTGAGAGCTTTTGCCTTCGTTACTTCAAGCTTTGTATGCATACAGCAGAAAGACATTCAACTAAACATACAAAGGGAAAACTCCCTCACAACTACATAGTCAATCAGAGCAAGCGCTATGCCGGTAAACACCAAGGCACCCAGCCTGGTTTCTAAGCAACACCTCCTCCACCACACCCTATTCAAAATAGAATTAAAACTTAAGTTACAAACTGAATGATCCCTGCTGTTGCACTTCCAACATATTTTATGTAAACAATCAATAAATGCATACACTCCAATGCACTCCCACAGGACAGCTCAGATGTTATCAGCTGTATACCTTCCAGAACTGAGTGCTATTGCTCATGTGGTCGTCTTCTTCTTCTTTGGCGATCACTCGTAGCCAGGTAAGATTGTCTTCCATGAACATAATCTTAACAGTGAGTCCGTTATTGACTTTGGAGGCCAATTCTGGATCAGCACATCCTTCCACAGTGGGGACATTGGTTTCCGGGCAGGAGTTGATCACGGTGTCGATTTGCCAAGCATGCCTTCCTCTTAGCACGTTTCTCCCTTGCGTTCTGAGTTTGAGTGTCTTCAAAGTCCATGACACCTTTGGTAAAGGCTGTTCTCCAACTGGAGCGCTCGCAGGCCAGTGTTTCCCAGTTGTCGGTGTTTATACTACATTTTTAAAGATTTGCCTTGAGACAGTCTTTAAACCTCTTTTGTTGACCACCAGCATTGCGCTTTCCATTTTTAAGTTTGGAATAGAGAAGTTGCTTTGGAAGATGATCAGGCAACCGCACAACATGACCAGTCCACTGGTGATCTTTGCTTCATCCAGTACACTGATATTAGTTCGCCTGCCTTCCCAAGTGATGTGTAAGTTTTTTCGGAGACACCGTCAATGGAATCTTTTGAGAAGTTGGAGATGGCGTTTGTAAGTGGTCCATGTTTCACAAGCATACAGTAAGGTTGGTAGTACAATAGCTTTGTAAACAAGCATTTTGGTTTCCCTGCGAATGTCCCGGTCCTCAAACACTCTGCACTTCAATCGGGAGAAAGCCGCACTCGTAGAGCTCAGGCAATGCTGGATTTCGGCATCAATGTTGACCCTTGTGGAAAGATAACTGCCTAGGTAGGAGAAGTGATCACTCATGTGGTACCACCCATGCAAAATAGGGAATTTGGGAAACCCCAAGGTTTTACAGACCCACAAAAAGTACCAAAAGGAAAATATCTCAAGGTAGAATAAAACGAACCCAACGAGGACTGAGCATGCTCAGGGACCATAGAACGCTGACTGATTATTTTGTTTTGGAGGAGAGAGTAGGAGGAAGGATGGAGTAGCCAGAGTCCTCAACAACAGCACACCATACTGCAACATTTTGTTGCAGCTCTGACTTATACTGTCCTACAACAATGCGGTTCTGCACCACTGCTCAGCACAGTCCTTAATGGCTCCATTATGTGCCATTCGTCAGCTCAGTGATCGAGTGTGTCGCTGATGTCTGGAACAGAGGTGCCACCATCCCTATTTATTAACTCTGCTTCTGTTCTGGCTGATTTATCAAAACAGACTCGGTGGCCGAGGTCGTTAGGAGATTAGCTTCTACATTCCCCGATAAGCACGGAGGAACAAACCAAAAAACCAAGCCTTCATCCGCATACCCCTGGGCAGCGCCTTTGTGAAGGAATGCAGGGAACCATCCAATTTGACCTCATTTCTCTTTCGCTTTTCTGATAGGCAAGGGAGACCAACGCTGTGCAGTCCAAAGTAAATCTATTGCACAAGGCAGGACATCTCTTCCCTCTAGTAGCGTGGAGGAAGCTACCAGTAAGGGTGATAAGTCATTTGGTTACCGCGATCATCAATCAGGCACGAAGGCTCAGCCATTCTGCAGTCTGAATTCTTTATCTAACGGATTCGTCATACCGGCCGACTGTATTAAGCTACCCCGTCCTCATTCCTATTACTGGGCTCCAACCAAAAATGAATCAATCTCACCCTAATTGATGACGTCAGCTTTGCAAACGGGACAGTTGGACTTGGGCCACCTTCAGACCCTCGTCATTTTGTGGGCCGGGTTCAAGCCCACGTTGGAAAGGTAGGCTTGCACAATTCAAGTGGGTTAGAGCACTCTGCCATAACAAATCCACCACTTCTTTTTTAAAGAAAAAAAACTCTGACTTTTTGCAAATAGGGGAGAAAGGGGGGGGTGGACATTGCAAAGCATGGGATGGTTAATGGGAAGATGCATAACGAGTGTGCAACTAAATCAGGATGAATGCTCATCACCCTAGTAAACAAATCTAGAGAAATGTTCCAAGGGAGACTTTTGCATATTCTTCAACCACAGCACAGCAACACACACAGATGCCCAGCAGGCAGCAGAGATTAGTGGTTTGGGTGCACACTCTGCCATAAGCCAGAGAGAAGAATTTTGTGGCAGGAGCTGCCCTCTCCTCCTGTCCTGGACAATGTCAGCTATTCTCCTGGATATCTAATCGTTTGTGTGTGTGTGTGTGTGTGTGTGTGTGTGTTTATGTGGAAGAGCCTTTCAAGAAAGGGACTGCCCTTCATCAAGGACGAGGCAGCCAGAACCACCACTGCAGTCAGCTGAAACTGCAAACTTGTGCTTAAGCTCACCTTCCCCTTCCTGTTCCTTGTATACCTGAAGGAGCGTCTCCACCCCCATCGTTCAGCCCGGACACTGAGGTCCAGCTCTGAGCACCTTCTGGCGGTTCCCTCCCTGCAAGAAGCGAAGTTACAAGGAACCAGGCAGAGGGCCTTCTCGGTAATGGCACCCGTCCCATGGAACGCCCTCCCATCAGATGTCAAAGAAATAAACAACTTTTAGAAGACATCCACAGCCAGCCCTGTTTAGGGAAGTTTTGAATGTTTGATGTTTTATTGTGTTTAAATATTATTTTGGGAGCTGCCCAGAGTAGCTGGGGAAACCCAACCAGATGGGTGGGGTACAAATAATAAATAATAATAGTTGTTGTTACTTTTGTATTGTATCTTTTTAAGATTGCGAGTCTGAGGGCAGAGACCTACTCAATACAGATTTTTTTCTTGTTAGTTGCTCTGAGAACCATTTTTTTTTCCCCTTAAAGGGCAACATATAAACATCGCAAATATATAATAACAAATCAGTGCAAAAAAAAAAAAATGCAACAGGATTTTGTGTGCTGAATGTGCAACCTTGTATATATATATACAGGTTAACAGATGTGTGAGACACAATCATCTCTCTCTCTCCCTTGCTTGCTCACTCGCTTCTTTTTTTCTGCCTGGCTTAAAATATTCAGTTCCCATCACACCTGGTGGTTTATATATTCAAGAGTTGGAGCTCTGCTGAGCTGGCAAACCCAGTGGGATTTCAGAGCAGAGAACAGGGAAGAATGACCGGGAGGGGGAGGGGATGAAACCCACATGAAGGCCCCTCTTGCCTGTACTGTTGTGAACCCTTTCAGGGGTCAGCAAACTTTTTCAGCAGGGGGCCGGTCCACTGTCCCTCAGACCTTGTGGGGGGGGCAGACTATACTGTATTTGGGGGGGGGGATGAACGAATTCCTATGCCCCACAAATAACCCAGAGATGCATTTTAAATAAAAGGACACATTCTACTCATGTAAGAACACGCTAATTCCCGGACCGTCCGCGGGCCGCATTTAGAAGGCGATTGGGCCAGATCCGGCCCCCGGGGCCTTAGTTTGCCTACCCATGCCTTAACTCCTTTTGGAAGGGAAGCAAATGTCTTTGCATCCCACCTTTGCTTTCCTGACACACACACACACACACACACACACCGACTTAAATTCCTTCAGGTGCAATTTAAGAAAAGACAGGAGAGCGAAGAAGTTATTTAGGCTGAACCAATGGGTGAGATCAAGAAACAAATCAATTCCATCATTATACCATCATTATATAATACCAGACAGAGGGAAAGAGAGACGAACTGCAGGAAAATAAAATAAAAACGTGCCACTCTATTTGAATATTTCCAATTCCGCCTGTCACCTTTAATTCCTTAGTGTTGATACCGGAGTTGGAAAAGTGGCAGAGAAATAGTAATATCCTTACATTACATCTGTCAAGCACCAACGGGGGCGGGGAGCTGAGCTGAGCAGTGGGAAGTGGAAATCCGCATTCACCCCTTCTGTGTCTAGATATTCCCAGGCTGCAAAGCTTTCGGCAGGAAGGAAGTCTTCTCTCTGTTTTCTGCTTCGCACATTTACCTCAAAGGGCTGTAAGGTCAGGGCTGTGGAGCACCTGCTTGGCATGCAGAAGGAAGGCCCAAGGCTCAGTCCCCAGCATCTCTGGGCTGGGATTGACTCCTGCCGGAAATCCCAAAGAGCTGCTGGCAGTCAGTGTAGACAATTCTGAGACAGGGGGTGTTTTCAACTCTATCTGGAAAGGCCAGGGATTGGAGCTGAAACCTTCTGCATGCAAAGCAGGTGTTCAAGCAATGAATGATGGCCTTCCCTGGGTCTGAGAGGGTTGCTGTGGAAGAGCAATGGTGATGATGAAGGTAAAGGGGGCAGAGCTTGACTCCTGGCAGCCCCTGTTCAAGACTCCTCCAGCATCTCTCTCTCTCTCTCTTTCACACATCACACAATCTTCACAGAACTTTAGCTTAATGGTTGCCATCAATTTGAGTTGAATTAGTTTTATAATGAAATGTTTTTAGAATGTTGTACTATTTTATTGTTGTTAGCCACCCTGAGCCCGGCTTCGGCTGGGGAGGGCGGGATATAAATAAATTTTATTATTATTATTATTATTATTATTATTATTATTATTATCATTTTTAATTTGTATACCGTCTTTCTATCTTACAGTACTCAAGGCAGTTTACAAGCTGAAGAAACAAAAAATGTACATCTTATAACAATCTAACGCAATACAAAAATGTATACATAACAAAAATGTAAACATAACTTTAAAATAGGCAACCTACATCAAAAAGTAGCATTCATTAGAATATTATTGAATAATAACATATAAAAGTTAAACAGAAATCCACTCAACAGTTACAATAAATAATTTCTAAACTATAATCAATAAAACAATGGCAAGCCACCGTACACAAAAAAATACATTACAAATTGAGAAGCAGAGACTAGAGGGTGGGGCAAGGCAGGTAGAAGGAGGCCTTGCCTGATGGAGTCTCTCCCCTCCCACACACAAACATAAGAGCCCTGGTGGATCAGGCCAAAGGCCTGTATAGTCCGGCATCCTGTTCTCACAGTGGGCAACCAGATGCCTGGCGAAACCAGAGCAGCGCACGGAAACGGTGTTTACCTTCCCGCCAGAGTGGCACCTATTTATCTACTTGCACTTTGACATGCTTTCAAACTGCTAGGTTGGCAGGAGCAGGGACCGAGCAATGGGAGCTCACCCCGTCGCGGGGATTCGAACCGCCGACCTTCCGATCGGCAAGCCCTAGGCTCTGTGGTTTACACCATAGCTCCACCTGCATCCATAAAACATCAGACATTAACAGCTTCCCTAAACAGGGCTGCCTTCAGATATATTCTAAAAGTCGTGTGGTTCTTTATCTCCTTGACATCTGAAGGGAGGGTGTTCTACAGGGAGGGCGCTACTACCGAGAAGGCCCTCTGTCTGGTTCCCTGTAACTTCACTTCTCACAGTGAGGGAACCACCAAAAGGCCCCCAGAGGTGGACCTCAGTTTCTGAGCTGAACAATGAGGGTGGAGAGGCTCCTTCAGGTATACTGGGCTGAGGCCATTTAGGGCTTTAAAGGTCAGCACCAACGTGCTGAATTGTACCACTCTGGCAAGACAGTGTGTGGACAGGTAGGGGCTCATCCAGCGTACCAGATGGAGCTGGTAGACACAGAACTGACCTGTAGATGCATTCTGCCCACCTGTGATTTCCAACAGCTACTCAGGACATACAGTGGTACCTCGGGTTACATACGCTTCAGGTTACAGACTCCGCTAACCCAGAAATATTACCTCGGGTTAAGAACTTTGCTTCAGGATGAGAACAGAAATCGTGCTCCGGCGGCGCGGTGGCAGCATGAGGCCCCATTAGCTAAAGTGGTGCTTCAGCTTAAGAACAGTTTCAGGTTAGGTACAGACCTCCGGAACGAATTAAGTTCTTAACCCGAGGTACCACAGTATCTTCTGGCAAGACAGTGTGTGGACAGGTAGTGTGTGGATAGGTGTGGTTCTTTATTTCCTTGACATCTGAAGGGAGGGTGTGTCACAGGGAGGGCGCCACTACCGAGAAGGCCCTCTGCCTGGTTCCCTGTAACTTCACTTCTCGCAGTGAGGGAACCACCAAAAGGCCCCCGGAGGAGGACCTCAGTTTCTGAGCTGAACAATGAGGGTGGAGACGCTCCTTCAGGTATACTGGGCTGAGGCTGTTTACGGCTTCAAAGGTCAGCACCAACATGCTGAATTGTACCACTCTGGCAAGACAGTGTGTGGACAGGTAGACAGATGGAGCTGGTAGACACAGAAATGACATGTAGATGTATTCTGCCCACCTGTGATTCCCAACAGCTACTCAGAACATACTGCCTCTGACAGTGAAGGGAGAGCATAGCCATTGTGACTATTAGCCACTGAGCATTATCCCACATTAATTCATCTAATTCTCTTTTAAAGCCATGCAACCAGTGCCTATCGCTACATCTTGTGGGAGCAAATGTCATAGTTGTGCTGTGTGAAGAATGCCTTCATTTCGTCTGTCCTGAATTGTCCAGCATTCAGGTGGTTCCAGGTCCTTGCATTATGAGGAAGAAAAATGTCTTCCTGTCCACTTTGCTATCCCAAATCACAGACACAACTGTACGAGTGTTGCCAAGAGACTTCTCTGTATTGCTGCTGAATAAAGAACAGCCAGGTATTTGTGTGAAACAGCAGCAAAAGAAATGAAGATTCTCACTTTGACCCAAACACACCGCAGGCGTGTCCTGGTGCCTTTTGCGTTAAATTTGCCTCCAGCACCTTTGCAAAAACAAAACAACCCCCTGCTATCCAACCCTTCATTATTCACAACTAAAGACATGCCCAGGTTAAAGGAAACAATATCTTTGTGGAAGAAAAATAAGCCCACAGCTGCTCTAACTCCCTGCACTGTATCTATTTCTGGCAACCTATTGAGTGCGGGAGATTGCTTCCTCACAAGAGCGACACAGAAACACCGGGCTACAGCAAGAGTACCCTTCATTCTCACCGTAAGCAAGCTGATTACGAGGAAGGAGGACGTGTTTAGTTGGCAAGAAGGAACATTTTGCCAGACGTCAGGTGGAACAGAGTTGGGAAATGTAGGAAGCAAGGAAGGCACCTCACACCGGAACAGAATAATGGTCCAGCAGCAGCAATAATAATAATAATAATTATTATTATTATATTATTTTTATTATTATTATTATTATTATTATTATTATTATTATTTACTTATACCCCGCCCATCTGGCTGGGTTTCCCCAGCCACTCTGGGCGGCTTCCAACAGAATATTAAAATACAATACAGTGGTACCTCAGGTTAAGAACTTAATTTGTTCTGGAGGTCCGTTCTTAACCTGAAACTGTTCTTAACCTGAGGTACCACTTTAGCTAATGGGGCCTCCTGCTACCGCCGCGCCGCCGCCATGTGATTTCTGTTCTCATCCTGAAGCAAAGTTCTTAACCCAAGGTACTATTTCTGGGTTAGTGGAGTCTGTAACCTGAAGTGTCTGTAACCCGAGGTACCACTGTAGTCTATTAAACATTAAAAGCTTCCCTAAACAGGGCTGCTTTCAGATGTATTCTAAAAGTCTGGGAGTTGTTTTTCTCTTTGACATCTGGTGGGAGGGCGTTCCACAGGGCGGGTGCCACTACTGGTTTCCTGTAACTTGGCTTCTCACAATGAGGGAACCACCAGAAGGCCCTTGGAGGAGGACCTCAGTGTCTGGGCTGAGCGATGGAGGTGGAGACGCTCCTTCAGTGTCTACTTGGAACAGGCAGCAACTCTCTGGGTTCTCAGGAGAGAAGGGCCTGATCCACCACATACTGCCTGATCATTTGAGTTTTCCTAGAGATATCAGGGATTGAAACTGGAACACTGGAAGTCAGACCATGAAGTCATCTAACTCAATGTTGTACACCACAGACCTTCAACTGGTGGGTCACAGCCTGGTCCAAGGTGGGTAGCAAATATGAGCACCAGCAACATGCAAAGAACATACCCGCCAACATTTCTCCAATGAGAACAGGGACGTCCTATTTCATAATAATAACAACCGCAATTTTATTATGTATACTCGGCCCACTCTGGGTGGCTTCCATCATATATAAAAACATAGTAAAACATGAAACTTTCAACAAGTTCCATATACAGAGCTGCCTTCAGGTGTCTTCTAAAGGCTGTACAGTTACTTATCTCCTTGGCCCGGGGGGAGGGGGGTCACATGACTCCATACCATCCAACATTTCTCCAACAAAAATAGGGACACCTTATTTCTGGGATCAAGTCAGAAATCCAGGACTGCCCCTGGAAAATGGGGACTCTTGGAGGGTCTGAAAGAAAAGGCTCCGCAATTGTATGTTTGGGTTAAAAATGAGTCCTCGGCTTGAAAGAGCCAGTGTGGTGTAGTGGTTAAGAGCGGTAGACTCGTAATCTGGTGAACTGGGTTCGATTCCCCGCTCCTCCACATGCAGCTGCTGGGTGACCTTGGGCTAGAAACACTTCTTTGAAGTCTCTCAGCCCCACTCACCTCACAGAGTGTTTGTTGTGGGGGAGGAAGAGAAAGGAGAATGTTAGCTGCTTTGAGACTCCTTCAGGTAGTGATAAAGCGGGATATCAAATCCAAACTCAAACTCATTGAAAAGGGTGAAGATACACTGACAGTGGCTCCCCAGGATTTCACAGAGAGCGCAATCCCAGGCCTGCCTGAAGTTGCTTGCCATTGATCCTGAGACCTTCTGCATGCAAGGCAGGTGATCTCCCCCTCAGCTAAATTCCTTCCCCAACAGAACTTTCTGCATGAGCAAACCCTTATCATCACTTTTAAAGTGATCCATGCTCTTGCCCCACCTATCCTTTGGTAACCATAGTACCTTAAAGATCACCTGAACCCTTATATCCCAACTCGATCACTGAGATCACCTGCAGGAGCATTGCCCAGCACCCTCCAAAATGGTGAAACCCATTTGACATCAACAGCCTCATCCTGTCAAATTCACTGTTTTCACCTTTAAATGTCTGCTGAAAACTTTTCTATGCCACCAAACTCATGCAAGTAATCAAGAAAATGTATTTCTGTGACAGTTTATGATCTTCAGTTTTCATTATTTTCACATGGTTTTTCATTGTATACAAATATTGTTGTAAGCCACTTTAGTATTTTTATTAATCACTTTGCTCGAACAAAAGGACTCAGAGACACTTACAAACGTATGCTTGTTTACAGACTTTTATCAAGGTAATATCAATCTGACATTTACTTGTTTTGAACGGATGACTCATCTCATCCGAGTATATAGAGGCATATAAATATTTTATAGATAAATAAAATAAGCACCAAAATATCACACCTGCACCTTTGCAAGATGATTTGTGCTGCCAAAAGAGATATATTTGGTGTTTTTTGGGGGGTGAGTCTGCCACTGACCCCCTAAGTTAGAGAAAAGGTGACAGGCTCAATGGTGCTATATACTTGAATAGGAGCAGAAGACGCACTCTAGCACTGAGCCACGATCCCTTGTTCAACTCCAATTATTTCTGTTTCTGTCTCACTCTCACTCTTTTCACACATCATATTTTTATAAATAATAGCATCTGTCATCAACGCCGTCTAACACACTAACTCCCTTTCCTGCATTGTTGCAAAAACTCAATTCAAAGGGAGGGCTCTCCGTGGAAAGGATGTGCAATCTTGCTCGCACAAGGGAGACGGCAAGCACAACAGAAAATGCACAGGAGAGAGGTGGCCATAAAATCAAATCCAAATGTGGCAAATAAGGAGATTCCACCAAGCTTTGTGGTCCATTGGACTTAGAATGTCGAAAGCTGGTGTGGTGTGGTGTGGTGCTTGGAATATTGGACTAGGACCTGGGAGATCAGGATACAAACCCCCACTCAGCCACGTAGCTCGCTGGGTGGCCTTGAGCCAGTTACTCACTCTCAGCCTAACCAACCTCACAGGGTTGGAGTGGGAATAGTATGGGGAACTATGTGTACTACCTTGAGCTCCTTTGAGGCATGCTGTTGTTTAGTTGTTTAGTCGTGTCCGACTCTTCGTGACCCCCTGGACCAGAGCACGCCAGGCACTCCTGTCTTCTACTGCCTCCCGCAGTTTGGTCAAACTCATGCTGGTAGCTTCGAGAACACTGTCCAACCATCTGGTCCTATATCGTCCCCTTCTCCTTGTGCCCTCCATCTTTCCCAACATCAGGGTCTTTTCCAGGGAGTCTTCTCTTCTCATGAGGTGGCCAAAGTATTGGAGCCTCAGCTTCAGGATCTGTCCTTCCAGTGAGCACTCAGGGCTGATCTCCTTCAGAATGGAGAGGTTTGATCTTCTTGCAGTCCATGGGACTCTCAAGAGTCTCCTCCAGCACCATAATTCAAAAGCATCCATTCTTCGGCGATCAGCCTTCTTTATGGTCCAGCTCTCACTTCCATACATCACTACTGGGAAAACCATAGCTTTAACTATACGGACCTTGGTCGGCAAGGTGATTTCTCTGCTTTTCAAGATGCTGTCTAGGTTTGCCATCGTCTTTCTCCCAAGGAGCAGGCGTCTTTTAATTTCGTGGCTGCTGTCACCATCTGCAGTGATCATGGAGCCAAAGAAAGTAAAATCTCTCACTGCCTCCATTTCTTCCCCTTCTATTTGACAGGAGGTGATGGGACTATGCCCCTTGGAGGCATAGTGAGATATAAATGTAAAAACAAAATAACTAACTAACTGTGAACTTCAGTGACTCAAAATACACACCTCAAATACAATCAGAATTAAGACCCACTCATCAGCCCATGTTCTTCTTTCCTTCAGATGTTCATCTAAGGCAGGAAAGAGCCTAACTCCTTAACACCCGCTTACCTATAATGAGGGCCGGCCCACCCATGACACCAGGTGACTCCCTTAGGCGGCAGGATCCCCAGGGGCAGCAGAATCTGATGGTTAATATTTCTCCCCCACTTGTCCCTTATGTAGATCTTCACTCACCCCTTCTCTCCTGGTGGGGAGGGAGGTGCCATTTTGGAGTTTGCCTCAGGTGCCAAAAAGTCTTGGGCTGGTCCTGCCTATAACCAGGGCTTTTATTCAGGTGGGCACCATTGCCATTCTAAGAGAACAAGTGTCAGGGGCTGGACTGAGGAGGAATGGTGGGGACCACCACCCTCCACTTCTCCTGAACCTTCCCAAGAAGAGGAGGCCAGTATAGATTTAGAACAGTGGTTTGCAGAAGGGCATAGTTCAGAGGCTGCAGAGGGCAGAAGCTGGGAAATATTGGAAGAGGAACAGCAGGAATAAGAAAAAGGATGAGGGGAGAGACAGCTGACAGACTCAGTGACCTTGGAAAACATTCCTGACCCGCCTCCCTCTCCCACGACCAGGCGGGCATTGAAGGTAGTAGAACATAGAGCTCAGAGGCAGAAAGCTTGTATTAGTCGACGAAGGAGTGACGTAGAATAGGGGAGACAAAAGGGGGTGGGACTTTACTTGGAGCAACACCATTATTAGGCAAGGCTGCATTCCTTTGCCTGTGAATTATTGAATAAATTGCCTAAGAACGTTGATTGTTTCTCTTATTCTTGGCTGCCACAGTGGGAGGGATCTACTGTATTTTTCGCTCTATAAGATGCACCCGACCATAAGATGCACTTAGTTTTAGAGGAGGAGAACAAAAAAAAAAATATTCTCTCCCTCTTTGCTCAGCCCCTCTCCATCAAAGCGGGAGGAGAAACGGAAGGGGGTCCGTTTCTCCTCCTGCTTCACTGAAGGGGTGCTGCACAGAGAGGGAAAGCTGCACAGCACCTCTCCAGCGAAGCAAAGCCAGGAGAGCAAGAGGGATCGGTGTGCACCGACCCCTCTCGCTCTCCTGGCTTCAGAGAAAGCTGCGCAGCCTGCATTTGCTCCATAAGATGCACACACATTTCCCCTTACTTTTTAGGAGGGGGAAAGTGCGTCTTATAGAGCGAAAAATACGGTAATTCCCCGAAGCCTGACAACAAGTTGAGTTCATGGTGAGTCCCGGCACCTCTTTTTCTGGAAGCAATGCCTGTAACCCTCTTCCTCCTCCATCCATCTCGCTGATGCAGTTGTTCCAGCAGCACGGGGTCTCGCTAACTTCCTCCTCCCCTGCGTCTTCCTGACCTGGAGATGCTGCAGATTGAACCTGAAACCTTCTGCGTGCAGAGCAGATGTTCTACCACTGAGCCACAGCCCTTCCCTAAATCTGTAATGCAGAGAGGTCATCTTAATCTCAAGAGCTTTTCTAAAAACAACAGCAGCAGCAATCTAATATTGTTGCCTGTAAAACTTGAAAACATGGCCTCTTGGGCATTACGGTGCTAAAAATCATGAAAGTTCAGAGATTTCTCTAGTGGGCTGCCATCAGCCCTGAGAAGATTCGAAAGAAGAAAATATAATTTTGTCTTGCTAAAAGTGCTGCATTTTTGTTTTTTTAAACTAAAAGGAATACACTGGAAAGGATTTCCTTTCCGATTCCAGCAGGGCAATAACAATGCTTAGCAGGATAGCCTTCTCTAATCTGGTGCCCTCCAGATGTTTAGGACTATGAAACAATATTCTAAGCCACTTTAAAAGTGCCTTTCTGGGGGGGGGGAGCAACAAATAATACATAAAAACTAGAAACCTTGGATATATCTTATCACCGAAACTGTATTTTCAAAGGCATCTTTATTAAGGTTCTGCAATTCTGAATACAATTAAGTATATTTTTAACATTTACATGCACACACACACACACACACACACACACACACACAAAAGTAGTTCAGAAGCAGAGATGGGTAAGATAACCTGTAAATCTACTCCAGCAATAATGTGAAGGAAATGGTCCAGTTCTCTAAATGTCTTCTGAACATCTAAAAAGCTGATTCACAACCCATATTTCATATCTGGGCAGTGCCAATTTCAGTGAGTGGGGCCTGCTGAGGATTTCACTTTGGCCACCTCATGAGAAGAGAAGACTCCCTGGAAAAGACCCTGATGTTGGGAAAGATGGAGGGCACAAGGAGAAGGGGACGACAGAGGACGAGATGGTTGGACAGTGTTCTCGAAGCTACCAGCATGAGTTTGACCAAACTGCGGGAGGCAGTGGAAAACAGGAGTGCCTGGCGTGCTCTGGTCCAGGGGGTCACGAAGAGTCAGATACGACTAAATGACTAAACAACAACATTCCCACAATCTCATCTCTTCTATCCCCCTGCATTTTTTTTCTGGGGGCAAGAGAAACAGTTTAACCTAGGACCAAAGGGAACTCCCTGTTCCTGACTGAGTTCCAGCCTGTGGTTGGAGTTCCTTAGCAGCCACTCATCACGTGTATCTCATTTCTCTTTTTACACCACTTCTGACACCACTGTTCCGTGCACCCTCTGGCTGACACCCTGCGCTCCCAAGAGATGCAACAAGAACAGGTCTCACATTACTTTAGTTCATTAGACAGTAAGCAGCACAACACAGTATTAAATTTGCATGCCACCCTTCATCCAAAGATCACCAGGTGGTTCACAACATAAAAATACAAAATGAAAATGCAGAATACATAATAAAACAAAAGCAAAAGGAACCAATAACGCCCCTCTCACAGATACATTTGAAAGGCCATAAAATGTTAAAACAGCTTATCTATATTCTGCTCTAGGAGGCTTAACTTGGTCAGAATTGAGCATACACTTCCAGACTGAACACTAAATACATGACTTCTGGTAACTGAGCCGCCATAGCTGCTAGAGGGTTGTGAAAATTTGTGTCCCAGCCTTTCTAGACTCATCTACCCATGTACTATCCGAAACAAAAGGGATGCTTTGGTTGCCAGATGTGAAATATATTGGCATTTTCAGAGTGGGTGGCACTGTGGGTTAAACCACAGAGCCTAGGGCTTGCTGATCAGAAGGTCGGCAGTTCGAATCCCCGCGACGGGGTGAGCTCCCATTGTATGGTCCCAGCTCCTGCCAACCTAGCTGTTCAAAAGCATGACGTGCAAGTAGATAAATAGGTACCACTCCGGCGGGAAGGTAAACGCTGTTTCCCTCAGCCAGTGTGCTGGTCCCGGGGGGAGGTTACCGTGAGGCGTGGTCAGAGTCCGGTCCTGGGTCCTAGGTCTAGAAACAGTCCACACAGGGCGAAGCGGGATCCGAAGTAAGAAGCTGGGCGTGGTCGGGAACTCTGGAAGAACAGGACTGGGTGCTGGCCGAAACAGCGCTTCAACGACGTTGCTCCCGCAACCTGGGACCAGGCTGACTGGCCTTTATCTTCTTTGAGGCCAGGGGTGGTCCTGGCCCCCAGGTGACCCGCCTGTTCTGGCCTTAAGGCGAGCACTCCTCCTGGGAGAAACCAGTTCCCTCCGCCTCTCTGCCCTGCGTCTCTGCAGCTCAGGAGAGGTTGGAGGGTTACTGGACCCAGGGGGAGACTCACCTTCCCCTGACAAGGCTGGAAGAGACGCACCTGTAGGCAATGTGTCCTCAATCACCTCCGGAGCCAGAGTGGATTCACCTGGTGCCTGCTCCTGAGGATCCGGCACAGGTGCAGGCGCTTCAGAAGCAAGGCCGTGCCCCAGCTCAGCCGGCCCTGGAGGCGGGGACTCCTGTGCAGGCTGGGATTCCTCTGGTTCAGCCTCTGAATCGGATTCCCAGGCCATCACAGCCAGTAAAGTGAGATGAGTGCCGCAACTGCAGAGTCGTCTGCGACTGGACCTGACGGTCAGGGGTCCCTTTACCTTTACCTTTACCTCACTATACATGCTTTCCAAGGCTCAGATTAATTCTACTGGCTCACGTTTTTATCTAGATCCCTTGTGAAAGCAAGGAGGGAGCACAAATTTTATTTCTTTATTAACTACTGCTGTTAGTTGTACAATTGCATGTTATTTTTCTTTCTTTCTAGCTGCTGTTTCCATGGTGTTTTATTGTTATGCTGTTAACAGCCTTGGATTTCTGCTCTGTGGGCGAAAGACAGTATGCAACTATTTGATAAACAAGCAAAATAATAAATATACACAGGCTGACAACCGAACTCTTTATGCAGAAAAAAGGGACAAGGCAAATGTGACCTACACCCAGATTTGTACAGAAAATTGGACAATGCAATATGCTCGGGCTTGTGCATGGGAAATATGCCTTAGCAACGTTGACCTAATTTCCAAAGTAAAATGTGTGTGTGTGTATATGTGTGTGTGTGTGTGTGTGTGTGGCTCAATACGAAACAATATGCAATGAAGGGAAACGTGAAGCAAAACTAGCTCAAGGTAAATACTCTATTACTGCTTTTGTGTGTGTTTATGAAAAGGGATCTATAAATCAAAGTCGAATGTTACATGAGCAAGTGCAAGCCTGGGCAGTGTGTATGGAGGTCCTGGGCTGCCGAGATGACAAGATACACACACACACACACACACACACACACACACACAGCCTTGCTGATGTGGACCAAAGGAAATCAGAGCAATACGTTTGGTACGACCTTGGATTCAGGAGTTGCCGGAAGGAGGCGTACAAGGCACCATCCAGCCACCTTAGGGACGTCTCTCTGGATTTGTGTAGGGTGCTCCAATTTGAAAGAGAATTTCATGAAAATGCTCTGCAGATGGTACTTAACACCTGTAAAACTGGCCAAAATGTACAAATCTAGATCAAATATCTGTTGGAGATGCAGGGAGGCGGAAGGCACCATGATCCACACGTGGTGGAATTGCAACAAAATCAGGGAATTTTGGGAAACAATATATAACGCAGGGCCGTCTTACCCATAGGTGCTAGGAGTGCAGGGCACCCGGGCGCCAGGCTCTCAGGGGCACCAGGCCGAGAGTCCGGGGCCCGAGAGTTGAGTCCGGGGAAGAGCCTGCCCGTCGCTGCGGGCAGCTCTGTGCCGCGAGTTCGGGGGCAAGAGAGCCAGCGAGACGCTGAGGCGGCCGGGCAGCTCTGCCCTCTTGCGCACCTGGGACGGGGCAACCTGGGGGGAGGGCGCCGGGCAGATCTTTGCACCCCAGCACAACATATGCTTAAGACAGCCTTGATATAACGAAGTAGTCACAGCGGCTCTTATGACCCTCAAATGTTGGAGGCAGTATTCTGGGATACTGAATTGCTGAGATTTACAAATGTGGAGAGATGCTGCTGCACTCAGGCTTTCATGAAAGCAGGATGTTGGGCTAGTTCGGCCACTGGCCTTGCCCAGCAGATTCTTCTTATACTCTTAAATGGAAAATCGGGGAAGGTGAATGGACTGGAGTAAAATGAAAGAGGTTATGACTGGCTGGCTGGTCAGCAGACACTGCAAATTCTCATGGTTCTATGTTTCGCTTCAAATTAAAAGTGCTTTTATATGGACCGCAAGCCACCCTGTTAACTTTTTATTATGGGGTGACTTACAGATGCCATGAATAAATAAACAAATTCTGTTGCCGGTCTCACTTACATGTCTTATTGCTATCCGCGTTCCCACAGAGGCTGGTGTCGCAAGCCTTTTAAAGCCATCTGATATAGCAGCAGTTTGCCTATATCTGGCGAGAATTCTTTTTCTTTTTCTTTTTGCTGCCAGAAAATGAGTAATAAAAGTATTTATGTTTCTATATGGCTGCTTCTTTCAGGGAGCCAAGAAGAATTACATCAGGATCAATAACCTATGTTTTCAGTAGCACCTCACACTATTTACCAGTAATTCCCAACTGCAGGGCAAGAGTGGGGAGGGATGTTTTTGCCATGTCCTAAGTTGGGCAAATAGGGAAGGGGATATCCTGACCTTCATTTCCCCAGAGAGCCAGGCTCAGCGCCGTCCTTCACAACACAGAAATGAAATCTCTGAAAATAACCTTTGGGTCAGAGGTTTCCAAACTGTGGTCCACAAGCACCAGGGGACATTCAGGTGGTCTGTGGCAGGTCAGCAGGTTTGTAGTTGAAGGCGGGAGACTATGCATCCATCATCTTATACATTTATGCTGGTTTTAAATTGTTCTTATTTCTCACGTCGCAATGCAGTACAGTTGGAACTGAATGGGTTGCAAATTCCAATACACAGAATGGATGCAAAAACTTATGGAATATGCAGAAATGGCCAAACTTACCGGGGAAATAAGAAATCAAGGTAACAAATAAAAGAACGGAAATGGTTTGTTGGTTTTTTTTATAAATGCTTTATTGGTTTACAAACTAAATAACATAAGTAGTCATTGTATCTGTTTACAAATAAATTGTATCTGTTTACAAATTAATTGTAAACAGATCACAACATTGGCAGGATTATTGTAATAACCTGCAGTTTTATAAGAGTTTTATATATTTAAAGTAGATGAGTAAGTGAAGTTAATTTGGAATATGCAGAAAATATATATTAAAAAAAAATATTTAAGGATCCGCAGAAAGAAGGGGAAGGAAGTCGAGTTTCGAAATGTTAAAATGATTGTAAAATACTGAAATGTATTAAACTGAAGATTGACAATAAATAGTAGTAATAATAATAATAATAATAATAATAATAATAATAACAACAACAACAACAACATACACAGAATTATAGGGAAGTTTTAATATTTGATATTTTTACACGTGTTGGAAGCTGCCCAGAGTAGCTGGGGAAACCCAGCTAGATGGGTGGGTAAAATAATAAAATTGTTGCTGCTGCTGCTGCTGTTGTTATTATAATACAATAAATCTCAATATATGAGGGGGGAATAAATGGAAATGCAATTTTAAAAAATTAAACAGCATCCAGTACAGCACATTGCAATTACTACGAAAGGCTGGGGGAAATATTAAGTGGTCTGCCAAGAAGCTCAGCAATTTTCAAGTGGTCCGTGGGGGTAGGAGTGGGAGTTTGGGAACCACTGATCCAGCGAGTGCGTGCATACGGTTGGGAAGGAAACCTGCGAATGCCAGAAGCTTTAAGAGGGGGAAATGTCCTTGTTCCCTAGTTTCTGGTTCCCGCTGACTTGAACTCTTCATGCAGACTTCCAAGGAAAGCAGCTTTTCTTAGCCAGTGGTGCCCCAAACTTTGAGGCTCCTGAAAACAGATCTGAGGCCCATAAGCTCAAGAAAGCCTAGGCTTGGTTGAAGAGACTCGTCCCATCCCGTATTTAAGGTAAAGGGTAAAGCGACCCCTGACCATTAGGTCCAGTGGTGACCGACTCTGGGGTTGCGGCGCTCATCTCACTTTATTGGCCAAGGGAGCCGGCGTACAGCTTCCGGGTCATGTGGCCAGCATGACTAAGCCGCTTCTGGTGAACCAGAGCAGCTCACGGAAACGCCGTTTACCTTCCTGCTGGAGCAGTACCTATTTATCTACTTGCACTTTGAGGTGCTTTCGAACTGCTAGGTTGGCAGGAGCAGGGACCGAGCAACGGGACATCACCCCATTGCGGGGATTCGAACCGCTGACCTTCTGATCGGCAAGTCCTAGGCTCTGTGTTTTAACCCACAGCGCCACCCGCGTCCTGTCTTTGTATATAGACTGTAAATAAAGTAGTTTTAGAGCTACTTTAGTCCTAGGCTCTGTGGTTTAACCCACAGCGCCACCCGTGTCCTCCCAGATCTGAGGCCCATAAGCTCAAGGAAGCCTAGGCTTGGTTGAAGAGACTCGTCCCATCTCGTATTAGGGGCACGTTATTCCACCAGAGCCAGCTAAGGGTTCTCTTTAGCAAATCGGAAAATTGTTTCAGGGACAAACAATGTCATGGGCCTCATGCTGTTCTGTCTCTCTTTCAGCTCCTGGATACCTGGAGCGCCAGAATTGAATCCGAGATGGAGAAGTTCAAAACAATGTGCGAGAGCATTACGCTTGCATGAGCATGCCTGGATGCAATCCCCGGCATTTTCGCCTACCCACGGCCAACTTTTCCTTTTTCTCACATCCCGCATGATCACAGTGGCAATTGCTGGCCGCCTAGCAGTGTTCAGCTAGTCCCCAAATGTGGTAACATTTTAGAGGCCAATTATCCACTCCAAAGCTCTTTGTTACAAAATAAATACAAATAATGAATCCTCATAAGAGGTAGCAATGGCATAAAGCCCCCATGAGCCCTAATTTGCACCTCTTCTTTCTGAAAAAGCTTATCTCTTTAAAGCACTAATTTCACATGCTTAAATCAAGATTGGCTTAGGAAACTTATCTAAAAGAGTTGGGAGCTGTTATTTTTCTACAGATAGATAATAGGGTTGTGCTTGTATGTGCATGGATTTCTGCTTGCACAGCTGAAATTTCCCTCCCTCTCCTCTTGTGCCTCTGTATGTTCCTGGGGTGGGGGTCCCTATCAACTGGGATTCCCTCCACTTGCATTTGATCCACCTCCCAGCTTTCTTTCACAATTAATTGTCAAATAATTAATTGGCAATTAATGGTGCTGGTGATATAAGCACGATTGCTGCATAAAACGCTGGAGGAAGGGAAGTGACATTTGTAAGAGGGCACAGAATGCCAACCGATAGCAGGTACAACAAATTGTCCTTCTAGCCCAGTGGTTCTCAACCTGTGGGTCCCCAGATGTTGTTGGACTACAACTCCCATCATCCCTGAGCTCTGGCCTTGCTAGCTAGGGGATGATGGGACTTGTAGTTCAACAACATCTGGGGACCCACAGGTTGAGAAAGACTGTTCTAGCCCAATGCTATCTATGTAGAACAGGGATCAGCAAACTTTTTCAACCATGGGCTGGTCCACCGTCCCTCAGACCATGTGGGGGGCCAGACTATATTTATTGGGGGGGGTGATGAACGAATTCCTATAACCCACAAATAACCCAGAGATGCATTTCAAATAAAAGCACACATTCTACTCATGTAAAAACACCAGGCAGGCCCCACAAATAACCCAGAGATGCATTAAGGACACATTCTACTCATGTAAAAACACGCTGATTCCCGGACCGTCCATGGGCCGCATTTAGAAGGTGATTGGGCCACATCTGGCCCCCGGGCCTTAGGTTGCCTACCCCTGATATAGAGGGAAATTTCCAGGTTCCTAGAGCATGTTCCATCCAACTCTTTTAATTGGAGGGGAAGAGGCGAACTTCAGGCAATCAGTGCTCAACACTGGAGAGTCCACCCAGGGGTGGAGGAAGGGGCTGCGGTGGGGGCGGGCCGCCCCGGGTGTCACCACTGAGGGGGGTGACAAAATGGTGGGTGGCACTCACCACGGGGCCTGCAGCGCGCCCGAGCCACACATCTCTCCTGGGAGTGACACGGTGCCTTGGGTGCCCACCGGCTCCGCGCTGCCCCAAACGGTCCACCCACCACTTACCCCTCAGCTGTAGGGCAGCTGAGGGGGAGGAGGTAGGCAGACTCCTCTGGGCCCCGTGGAACATCCTGCTCCGGCTCGCCCCCACTGGCAGCTGGCCCCGCCCCTGGGTGCAGGGCAAGCTCAACGCACCAGGCGCCCGATCGGCTTGCTCCGCCGCTGAGTCCACCACTCTACCACTGAGCTACAGCCCTTCCCCGATGTTGTTGCCTCTGACCACACTGGGCATTGACACTCATCCCCTGCCCTCTCCAAAAGCATATAAAGCAAATATACTTCGCTCCTGCCTACATGATAACACCAGAAATACACTCTCTCTACTTTTTACTTGGTGGAGAAGGAGGCACAGGAGAGAGGAGCACAGAATGACAGCTAGAAAGTTTGTTTCATGAAGAGGTCTCACGTCCGCCTGGGTAGCTCAGTTGGTTAGAACTGTTGGAAAAAGGCCCGGGAAGGCCACCACCTTCCCAAGACACCAGGGCGTCTCTCCAGTGGTCACTCTCTGGCTGTATATCTTCCTCAGTCCAGAGAGACCGGTGATAAGCGACCCCTCCCTCCTGAGAGGAGCACACTTATCTTCTGGCATCTCATAGCAGAAGAAAAAGTCAGTAGCTCTAAAACTACTTTATTTACAGTCTATATACAAAGACAGGACGCGGGTGGTGCTGTGGGTTAAACCACAGAGCCTAGGACTTGCCGATCAGAAGGTCAGCGGTTCGAATCCCCGCGACGGGGTGAGCTCCCGTTGCTCGGTCCCTGCTCCTGCCAACCTAGCAGTTCAAAAGCACATCAAAGTGCAAGTAGATAAATAGGTACCACTCTGGCGGGAAGGTAAACGGCGTTTCCGTGCATTGCTCTGGTTCGCCAGAAGCGGCTTAGTCATGCTGGCCACATGACCCGGAAGCTGTATGCCGGCTCCCTCGGCCAGTAAAGCGAGATGAGCGCCGCAACCCCAGAGTCGGCCACGACTGGACCTAATGGTCAGGGGTCCCTTTACCTTTTTATATACAAAGAATCCATCAGCATGTCTGTGCTCTCTCAGCATTAGAACAGAACAGCATAACACACAGAAGTGAAACTAACTTGCAACAGTGCTAAGACTTCCTGTCTCACGCTCTCCCAGACACTCACATGATATAAACAATGTAGTGCTACTTGCTGAGCAGCACAGGTGAATAAAAATCCTAACATCACTCCCCCATTTTTAGGTAACCCTAGCTGCGAAAACTAGTGCAGAATCAAGAGACATAAACAAACAGTTGTCATACACATAGTATACCCCTGCTGTACCAGTTCCACTTTTGGAACTACCTGCAGCTGGATTGACCAGTTCAAACCTCTGGTTAGCTGTCTTCCATGGGACTAGAGCTTTTGATCTATCTTGGTCTGAGGAAACAGTGCTGACTCTTGCAACCTTCAGATGTGGCTTTGTCCCTCCTGTGGACCAACCTTGTGCCCCACTCAAGACCTTAGTGTCTGAAACCTGGTTTGAGCCACTAGCCACAGCTATACATGCAACAGCTGTGTTAGCAAACTGCTGAGAGAGCCTCTGGAGTGGCAGTCCCTTTGCGACTCTCTCAGATCTACATATCAGGTTCAGATCCTCCTTGCTGGCTGGTACTTCCTTGGGACTTTTGGGAGAACCACGACCAACAGTGGCTCTGGCAATTCCAGTTCAGCCTCAGATGATGGCCTGGACATTGCTTGTGTACTTCTCTCAATGACTGTGTCATCTGTACTAGAACTCTCAGTGGTGCTTTCAGTGTTACTCTCAATGTCAGAATCTACATCTGTGTTGGCATTGATGGGGAAACTGTGGAGAACCTCTCTCCACAGTTAGAGCCAGTGTGGTGTAGTGGTTAAGAGCGGTAGTCTCGTAATCTGGGGAACCGGGTTCGCGTCTCCGCTCCTCCACATGCAGCTGCTGGGTGACCTTGGGCCAGTCACACTTCTCTGAAGTCTCTCAGCCCCACTCACCTCACAGAGTGTTTGTTGTGGGGGAGGAAGGGAAAGGAGAATGTTAGCCACTTTGAGACTCCTTAAAGGGAGTGAAAGGCGGGGTATCAAATCCAAACTCTTCTTCTTCTTCTTCTCTTGTTATGCAGTGCCTTCTACATTCCTAGTAAGAATCACTGTGTCAGAATCAGGCAATAAAACGTATTGACCTTTCTCATAACCCATCAAAATGCCCCGTGCACTCTTTGTACATTGTGGTGTTGTACAATGGTGGTGATAACGCCAAGGTTGCAGGTTCGGTCCCCGTAAGGGACAGCTGCATATCCCTGAATTGCAGGGGGTTGGACTTCAGGATCCTCAGTGTCCCTTCCAGCTCTATGGTTCTATTAAATACAATTAATTAATTAATTAATTAACTGGCCTCATCTCAGCCGCAATCAGCAATTAACTAAACCGAACCTAAACGGTACAAAAATGTGTTATTTGCAAGCTTGTAGATTGGCAAAGACAATAGGGAGGCAAAATAAGTAATTACCAGATATATAATTAGTCACACAGGGTTTGGGTCGTTCTGATCTTGATTTAAACAATCGTATCATACGGGCCAGAACATGAGAAAATAGATCTTACCGAGGAGGGGAAATACCCCGAGCCTGGGATTAAATTAGAATGTAGCGCTCCAAAGTTCTCTCTCCCTCCCTCCCTCCCCCCAATCAATAGAGACAATGGAAACGAAAACACGAGAAGACAATGCAATACAGATCTGGGAAAAATGTCAAGAGCTCTCATTATGTTTTTAGTGCATAATTAATGCTGCGCTGAACTTCTCGTACAGCTGGGATACTCAGCGACATCTCCAAAGATGCAATCATGGGAACTGAAGCTCTTATTAAGTCTATTTAAGGAGTATCTTAAACGAAACAAGGAAACTTAAGAAGCTCTGAGACGTGGAAGATGAGTCAAGTTTGCACTATGGACTCAGGGCCCGGGGCAACGTAAAAACTTGGTGGAATATCTAAGTCCCCATGGACAGCCTTTCCCTTGAGCATGGAGGTATTTAAGCCGTCCCTTTGGAGGAAGTCAACTGCCCCCGAAACGCAAAGTCTACAGCTCCAAGAATGACAGAGGCATCAAAACAGCACTCAACCAGGGGAGAAGGCTGTTATCAAAAAGAATAGGGCACTCCCTTCCTGTGTTGCTGGTCATGTCAGGATCCCTCTTGGACTACTGCAATGCACTCTACGTGGGGCTACCTTTGAAGGTGACCCAGAAACTACAACTAATCGAGAATGTGGCAGCTAGACTGGTGACTGGGAGTGGCTGCCGAGACCGTGTAACACCAGTCCTGAAAGATCTTCATTGGCTCCCAGTACGTTTCCGGGCACAATTCAAGGTGTTGGTGCTGACCTTTAAAGCCCTAAATGGCCTCGGCCCAGTAAACGTGAAGGAGTGTCTCCACTCCTTTTGTTCAGGTTCAGCGCCGAGGGCCTTCTGGCAGTTCCCTCCCTGCGAGAAGTGAAGTTACAGGGAACCAGGCAGAGGGTCTTCTTGGCAGTGGCACCTGCCCTGTGAAACGCCCTCCCATCAGATGTCAAGGAAATAAACAACTATCTGACTTTTAGAAGACATCTGAAGCCCAGATGGGCGGGGGTATAAATATGTTGTTTTTTTGTTGTTGTTGCTGCTGCTGTTGTTATTTCTACCTAGTGGTAGCTGCCAATCTGGGCTTCTGGGCAGAAATCACTGCCATTCCTAATCACTTAAGGGAAGCCTGCTCCCAATGAGCTAAGGATCCAGCCCAGCGCTTCTTCCACCAACAAAGTGGTGCCGATTGCTTTGATGGAGGCAAAAGCCCCGTGGGATAAAATTCCTTCCTTGCCCTAAATCCAGCTCTCCTCCTCCATTAAACAATTCACCTGGGCTGCCTGACCTCACACCACAGAGCGTGACTACGCCTTACATTTTTATGCATACAGCAAGAAATCTCCTGTGCTGGTCCTGAAGATTCAGGGTCCTATTCCTTCCTTCCACCAGCCTTCTGGGAGAATTTCCAGTCCACACAGCAATATTCTTCAGACCAGACAAAAGAGTCTGGTGCCGAGTTCAAATCCACCAACTTCCATCTGCCCTATATTTTCTAAAGCTGTTTGTTTGCTATGCATTTAGACACCTCTTAAAAGAGAATAACCAGTTTTTGCATGATGGTACCTGAGATCAAGGAGCCTATGTTTTCACCTATTTGTTTGATTGATTGATACAATTAGACACCATTTCAAATCAATATGGCGGACTGAACCTTTCAGAACTTCACTGATCTTAGCTGCTGATAATAAAAACTACACCGGTTTCTCAGAGTTTCTGAGCAACAGCAGGTATGAGGTTGCTAGCAAATGAATAAAACTAAGAGAGGAATATAAAAATTTGCATGTACAAATAAAACAAGTCAGTGTAATAAATAAGCTCTGTTAATAGCTTAATATCAGGGAATTAATACAGTAATATATACCGTTATCAAACAGAAAAAAGAAACAAAAAACAAACTCAAGTCACTAATGAATTTTAAAAGACTGAGAATCTACTTTCTCTTAAACGGGAGGTTTGGAAGCAGCAAATTATTTCTGCAATAACCGATAAATAGAATTCAATTTATTATAAAGCTGTGTCGTTATTCTTCTTCTAAAGTACGAAGTGATTTTTGCCATTGAAGCAAATCTCCAGGCCTTGTGCACCCACATTTCTATTGTTTGTCCTCTCCATATTTTGTCAAACATAATTTTTGCTACTGCCCTCTATCCTAGTCTTCCAGGCTGTCAGATCTAACAAGAAGAGCTTTTCTATGATTAGAAAAGAAACATCTTATGAATCTACAGTGTGAAACCCAGACCCTTGTCACTGTCTGTTTTTGTCTTAAATTGCCCCTCCCGTAGCTCAGCCTGTGCTGAAACAAGTCTCCCAGATGAAGCAGAGGGGGAATCAATAGGGGTCATTTCAGCACTGACACGTCTGGGTGGGGGGTGTGGAACTATACTCCCTCTGGGGTGTGTTTCCAACCAATTAGCTTAAGCAGTAAAAATATCCTCTTGTTAAGCATGCTTTACAATCAGTTCCCAAGGTCTTTCCTCCCCTCTCCAGCTCAATCCAAGCCAAGAAACTCATTTCACGTGGGTGGAGCTCATTGTGAAAACCTGGCGCCGGAACAAGACTGTTAATGACAGTTTCGTACATTGATAAGGGTTAGTAGTGGGGGGCCTGAAATCAATGCGAGCAAATTACTGGCGACTTCGAGAAAGCACATGCTATAGAGGGAAGCAAGGGGCAGATGGGGCTCGTCGCCCAGGGGAGGTAGGACTCATCTAGGAAGAAAAGGCTAAGGAGTAAACCCTACACAAATTCAGAGTGGGGTCCCTAAGACGGTTGGTGTCAGGAGTTCAGCCTACACTCGAGTAGGACTCTGGCAGAGACACATGCCCAACTGGCATGTTCCCTTCCTCCTGGTCGTTCGTTCGGGAGCTTCAAAAGCTTTCTTCAGCCCGAACATCACAGCGACCGATGCCAAGCGACACCGGCACACTTAGGGTTCCGCAGAGTTTGCGCATCATGCGTGTGACAGAACCCCAGCAACTCAGCATTTTGGCTAATCTACCTTATTTACATATAAACACACACGGAGCACTGCAACATGGCTCCCTCTCTCTCTAGCATCAGACAGCAAAGAGAAAAAGAACAAAGGACAATAGTTCCACTTCACAGAACACAGTAACACAAACATCCTGTCTCCATCACTTCCCACTCTGTGGAGTCAAAACATGCACCATCATGTGACAGACAACAATCCCATGACTGCAATCATAGATCAGGAATTCTAACAGTTGGGTGGCCCCTTGTATGCCTCCTTCCATCAACTCCTGCAGCCAAGCTGCTGCCAAATGCTTTGTTTTGCTTTCCTTCGGACCACATCAGCAAGGCAAAGAGAGAGGTGTTGTTGTTTGGGGAGCCCAGGACTTCCATACGCACTGCCTAGGCTTGCACCCTTAGAAGGTCACTTCAGCGCTGCTAACACAGCGGTTTGACTTCACCCCGAGAGGCGCAATCCATTGATTCTCGAGACAGACGGATGCCAACAACCTAGTCCTATACAGTGGAAGCTCAGTTTTCGAATGTAATCCGTTCCGGAAGACCGTTCAACTTCCGAAACATTCGAAAACTGAGGAGCAATGGGCGGTTGAGAAAATAAAAAAAACATGCAATGGATGTCTGAGGCATGCTTGAAAAGGGAAGCAATTCCTTCCGGGTTTTTGGCGTTCGGCTTCCAAAACGTTCGACTTCCAAGACGCTCAAAAAACGAGGTTCCACTATACTATATGCCTCTTCCCCTACACTGTTATAGAACTGGGTGACTGAAATAAAGAAAGTTAACCAAGAGTGGACTTTTTTTTTTTTTTGCACTCAATTCCAAGAAAGCTTTTTATGAAGATCAAATAAATTATTACAACACTTATATCAAAACCTGTTTAGATAACTTGACAAGAAAGTAAGTGAAATACTTTTTTTTTTAAAAGAAAATTCAGCACTTTAGCATCATAGGTAGAAAGCTTCAATATTATCAAGTTACAAGATGGAATTAAATGTAGCACTAAAGATGTTGTTCCATCAACAGAAGCATTTCTGCTTGCTCCACATAATGATCTTTATTCTGTTCTCCCTGCATCCGTTTTGGGAGTTCACCCAGCCCTCCAGAACAGATCAGGGGAGGGAGGAGAGGGTGGTGGAAGCCTTGTTATGCTAGCACAGGCATCCCCAAGCTTTGGCCCTCCAGATGTTTTGGACCACAATTCCCATCATCCCTGACCACTGGTCCTGTTAGCTAGGGATTTTGTGTGAATAGACAGTGAGCTCTGTGCAGTTCTGGTCCTGAAAACCAACTCTTAGGCTCACAATGTGCTCTTTAAGGCTGTTCATGCAGCATACTTCAAAATCACATGACTTTCCCCAAAGAATCCTGGGTGCTGCAGTTTTTTAAGGCCACTAGGAACTGGAACTCTGTGTGGGGCAAACTACAG